ACCTCCCATCCTCGCTGCCTCTGCCATGTGGGGGAGGGCGAGAGCCCAGGAAGGGGGCATCTTGGCTTCTGCAGAGGCCTCGATGGTGACCGTGCGGGTGATGCTCGGCCTTGACCAGGGGGATCTGGCTCCAGGATTCCGCTCCTCCCCACCCTACCTCGTCATGGTCAGGGAGTGTGAAGGCCTCTGGGTCCAAGGTCCCCATCAGCAGAATGGCTCCTTCCTGCCCCCTCCCGTAAGGCCGGAAGTAGAAAGACTCGAAGAAGGCAGGACCTAGAGAGGGCCTGGGCTGGTGATGGTTTCCTGACCTCTGCACTGGCTTGGGGACCTGAGTTCTGCCACCTGGACCCACCTACCTCTCCTGCCAGTGATCTTCAGGGCCAGCGGATCACCTAGCTCACCTCCCCACCTCTGTTCTACCCCACCCAGAGCCAGGCCAAATTCCCAGGCTTTGCAGGGGGGGCGTGGGGAGCACCCTGGAACATTCAGAGGCAGGGCTAGAATCACTCCGTCCATCTCTGAAACATGCCCCTGTCTGCACGGTGAAGTTCTTCCTAAAGTCTAACCTAGCTGTGCACGGTGACCCAAGGCTGTCATCCCAGGAGGCTGAAGCAGGAGGATCACTGCCCCTTTGAGCCTGGGCTACTAGTGAGACACTGTCTCAGAAAAAGAAAAATAGACATAAAAAGTAAATTCGAACCTAAGGTTCTTTCTGCTGCGCTGGGCTCAGAGCCGGGGTCAGGCCTTCTCCTGCGGCAGCTAATCCTCTCCTTTGGGCGCCGTGGGCACCGAAACAGCCCAGCTCCAAAAGCGAAAATAAAAGTCTCTGCTCATCCCCAGGGTGCTCTTTCTACCCACCTTACCCTCCCTCTGCCCCCAGCTACCACAGAAACCCACGGGGCACTGGGGCCTGCATCCCAGGATGAGTCAGGAGGCCCTCGGGGACTCACTGAGGGTGCTGGAATTTCCTTTTGTGCCAACCGAGGGCTCTGCTCAATGGCAAACCCCATCTCCCGCCTCCTCTGGTCTAAGGAGCAAGATCAGTCTCTCCATCTAGGGTGTGAGCTTCCGGCCATCTTCGATGCCCGACTCGGGCCCTGCATTTGGGGCTGGGGGTGTGCAGAGTACCGAGGTATGGAGTCAGAGGCCGGAAGTGCTTGGGCCGCCCCGCTTCCTTTCATTCCAGGGAAGAGATCAAAATAAAGCATCTCCCTGGGTCTGAGGCCCCTGGGACAGGCCAGAGGGTGCCAAGAGGCTGCCACCTGCAGGGACCCTGGCTCTTACTTTCTGCTCTCTCACTTAAGGGAACAAGACCATCCTGGTGGGGAGGCCAGGAGGGGTGCCAGGGCAATGAAGTTGCTGGGGACCATGGCAGTGGTGGCAGGTGGCCCCGCTGACCCCTGAAAAGCTAGCATCCACCCCCACTCCCAGCCCTCGCTGCATATTTTCTCTCCCCCTAAATAGCATCTCAGGAGGGTAGCGGCAGGAGCTGCTTCCCACGGCGTCTTCACAGCTCTCCCGCTGTCTCTCCTCGCTGTCTGTCTCTCGCGACCTGGTTTCCCTGCCAGGCCCTTCTGCTCCTCGGCCACCGCAGCCTGCACCCCCTTGCCCTCCCGGGTCCCAGGAAGCCTTTGCCAGGGACAGAGCCTCCACGCCACAGCCCGCTGTCCCCTGCCACCCGGTGGCAGAGGCTGGCACACTGTTCCCCACTCTCTGGCACAGCCGTGACTTCAGGGCACAAAAGCTGAGCTCAAACGGCCATGAGGGCCTCGGCAGTATTCATCGAAGGTGCAGGAGAGGAAGACACCGTGCTCCAGCTGGCGTACAGCCCAGGGGTGCAGGTCCTGGCCCAGCACATGTTAAGGCCCTGGGTTCAATTCCCAGCACCTCCGAACAAAGTCCAACTGATTCAGTGATTTTTTTTTTCTTGGTACTGGGGGTCCAACTCATAGCCTCGACTTGCCCGGCAAGTGCTTGTGCCACTGAGCTAAATCCCGGCCCAACAAAGCCCACCTGGAGCAGCCCTGCTCCTTTCCTCAAGGCCTCCTCCCAGGCCTGACAACTGGCCACCTCCTCCCAGGAGAAGCGGACGGAGGCCTCTGGCAGCCAGGAGTCCCAGGGGAAAAGGTCCCTCTTTGTCCGGCTGGGATCTCCAGACCCTGACCCCAAACTCAGCTGCTACAGTTCGGACTTTGTCCCACACAGAACGAGTCAGCCAGGAAGGTTTGGACGGTGACCCCGGGATATGCCCACCCTGATGAGGACACAGCCTGGACACTGGCAGAGGTGACCCCCCACGTGAGCAGTGCTGGAGCCATCACGGCTCCCAGACGCAGGCAGGACATGGGGGTTTGGGAGGAGTGAGGGGGACCACTGGGGTGCTGGGGACCCAGGGCAGTAGGGGGCTGCTGCAGTGGGGTGTCTGCCCGAGCCGAGGGCGGATGTGCAAGAGTGGGTGCACTTCCTCCTCCCGGCGCCAGCTGTGGGGTGACCTTCTAACCCCCGGCACCGTGGGAGAGTTGGAGGCAGGGAAAGAGAACCCCACTGCCTGGGAGTCACCTCCCCCTTTGTTATTTCTGGCCCCATTTTCTTGGTCAAGAAGGGTGTCAGTGGTAATGCAAATGAGGCCATGCTGGAGGTGCTGGTGACACCCATCCTGCTCCTCCCCAGCCTCCCCTGTGCCCACGCTCACACAGCGGACTGGAACGTCGCCCAGAGGGCCTGGAGACCCTGCGCTGGGCTCAGGTGGCACCGAGGGTGGCCGATGCTGGGGCCAGGGCCAGGCTCTCATTGCCCAGCCATCCCTGCCCCAGGTCCTGGCTGCCTCAGCTCTGCCAGGCCTCCTGGGTCATGAACACAGAGCTGTGTGGCATCTAGAGGGACAGTGAATGCCACTGACCCATGGCTGCCTCAGCCCTGTGCCTGGGCTGCAGGACGATGGGCACCGGGGGTCCCAGCCAGAGGCTGCTCAGACCGCGGGCAGTCTGCAGATGAGGTCAGCTCCCTGGGCACCCAGGCAGCTGCAGGAGCCTCAGAGTGCTGTGAAATTCCCGGGAGTCCAGGCAGGAAAGGTGTGGGGAGAGCAGGGGAGGAGTGAGGCACTGGAGGGTTCAGTCTTCCCCACCCTCTGGCCTTTGCCCCAGGTGCCCAGGGAGGACCCCTCTCCCTGCCCCAACCTCTCATTTGTGTCTGACCTCATTCGTTCCTGTGGTCACCCAAAGGTGTCCTAGTCTTGTCATTGCTGAGGGACAGATGGGAGCAAGGCAGCTGTCCGGTCCCCCATCCTACATAAAGACGTTGCCGAGAGACTCCCCCACTTGGTCCTTCTCGTCACTGCTGCCCTCTAGGAGGGTCACCTGCTGCAGACTATATGGGGCCCCGGGCCCGGACAGGGCTTCCCACGGCTTAGGAAGGCCTGAAACCCTGGGGAAAGGTGGGGCGGTGGCCTCTAATTTGGTCCGGGGCCAGGGGTCTGAGGAAGCCTGAGGCCCTTTGAAGTTTCAGCCCCCTTTCTTCCACACGTGGCTTGGGGTCTCTGCTAGGGACAAGCTTGGCCCCCTGGGGTGTGTCTTTCCCGGCCTTTGTGCCCCTCCTGGCTCCAGAGAGGAGCGTGTAGCAAGTGTCCTGCCCCATTACATTCCATCCTGCCAGAGCGGAGGCATCAGCAAGAGCAGGTCCTCAGCCCGGTCCTCCCCTTTTGGGGACAGCAGATGAGAGACCGCGGCTGGCTGCCTTTCTCCCCCTCCCTGCTTCCCTCCCAGCCCCCAGCACTATGCGTCCTCACTGGAGCTCTTTCCCAGGCCCCTAGAAATCGAGGAGACAGGCTGCCAGACCCTGCACCCTCTGTCCCCACGCTCCCCTCACTCTGGTGACAGAGATGCCGCGCTGCAGGATGCCTGGGTTCTCCCACACCTGTGGCACGCTTTGAGGACTGAGCTCAGGGTTCTGGGGCCCTAGACCCCCACCCTTTGTCCCTTCCTCTAGGGCTAAGGTGTCTCTTCGCCTCATGGGGCCCATGCCTGCCACTCAACAAATGCTCCAGAGAACCTGAGTGCCACCATCTTCTGGGGAGCTGACAGAAGTGGGGGAGCCACAGGAAACCCCAACATCCCATGGGCACAGGCTGAAACCTTGACCATACCTACGAGCCCAGCCTGAGGGCCGGCTGGTCCCTCCGGGGCTGGCGTTTAGGTCTTGACCATGGGCGCTGGTCAGCTACTGCCCAGGGGACAGGGGCTACCACAGGGCCCAGAACAGGAGGACATCAGCCTCGGCCTGGGGTCGGACCTTCGGCCGCCCAGAGTACCTGGAGCTGGTGAACAAGGCACCCAGGCCCTTTCTGCAGAGGGCACAACCCTGGCTGGGGCAGAAGTCAGGAGTTCATGACCCAGCTCTGACCTCCCCAGTGCCCGGAGCCAGCCCCACCTGAGCTCACCCTGTGCAGACCTTGGAGGTCCTTCCTCCGAGAGGTCTGGCCGGGATCTGGTCCGCCAGAGTCAGTCACTGAAGAAACAGGGGCCACCAAGAAGAGCAGGGTGTTGGGAGCAAAGTTCAAGTCCCTGCCTCCATTTAAACCAGGTGTGGTGACACATACCTGTCACCCCGCACTCTGTGAAGCTGAGGCAGGAGGATGGCAAGTTTGAGCCCAGCCTGGACAACCTAGCAATTTAGTGAGACCCTGGCTCAAAATTTTAAAAGGGCTGGAGATGTTGCTTAGTGCAAAGGCCCTGAGTTCAGTTCCAGAACTGCAAAAAAGAAAAAAAGAAAGAAAAGGTGCTGTCACCTCTTGAGGCAGGTGGCCACTTTATACCTGCTCTGAATGAATGCCACCTGCCGGTCACCTGTCACCTGCCCACATGTCCAGCTGTAAATGCAAATGTCCCATGTGTGCCCAGCTTGTCAGCCCCACAGCAGGGAATGGCTCTCAGCCTATTTCCACCACCCCGGGGTCCCAGGTGCTGCGGCCCCACCACAGCCAGGGAGGAGGCGTGCATGCTGAGTGCAGATGGACAGGTCAGCTTTATTCGGACATCCCTCTTGTTCAGAGGGCACGGGCCCCGCCCCCTCCTGGCCCCTTCCCCATGTCCCCTCCCAGGGGGAACACTCAAGGTACTGGACAGACACGCGTCTCTGGAGTCGGTGGCCCCTTCCCCGCCCACCGCACCCCTTGACTCCCCGGCACCAAGAGGGGAGGGGTGCGAAGAGGGGAGGCCTGGAAGAGTTGGATCAGAACGGAGCATGCGCAGGCGGTAGCCTGGCCGAGGCCTAGGGGAGGCTCGCAGTGAGGGGTGCATTTGGTGTGGACATCAGGCTCCCCGGCAGGAGGCTCCCTACCTCAGCCCTGGGCCCCCCCCTCAGCCTCCTGCTTCCACCCTTCTAAGGGTACAACTCTGAGGTAGATTTCACAGAGGGAATGTGGGTCCGTGAGGTGCGGGAAGGGGGTTAGCTCTTTTGAAATTGACCTCCACAGCACCCGGGGCCGGTTCTGGGGTCCTGACCCAGGCAGCAGGGGCCAATGACACCCACCCAGCACACAGAGGCTGGGTCCCGGTGGGCTCCGGTAGGGGAGGGTGGAGGGGCACCTGCCTTGATCATCTGCGCCTGGGTGGGGGAGGCGCAGGAGTGCAGTGCCCTGGCAGCCTCTTTGGGCTGGGTCCTCCCTCTCCTCTCCCACCCTCCCTGCTCCCCAGGGTGGGCAGAGGGGGAGAACAGGCTGGCCTGCGGGACGTTGCCGCCTCTTCCACCTGTGCCAGGAGCCTCCCATCTGGGCCACGGGATGGAGGAACTGGCGTCAGTGTTGGGGCAGCCTCTGGCACCCCACAGGGCGGTGCTCCCAGAAAGGTGGGCATTTGGGGAGGGGCTTAGGGAACCTCTGATCCCCACCTCTCCCCAAGCACTAGACACCTTGGATCCAACCCTGTTTGAGAACAAAGGCAGAGGGAGGGGCTGGGGCGTCACCCCTCTGTCTCAGCCCAGCTCCCCACTTCCCCAGGAAGCTGGGAGCGCCGCCCCGAAGAGCCAGAGCTGCGTGTGCCTGGACCAGGGAAGATGGCACACATATTGACTCGAGAGCTAGTGGAGGTATCTGGGGGTTGCGAGGAGCAGGGACCCCCATAAAATTCATGCAGCATTCAGAGTGAGCGGGGTGACGGCCGGGGAGGCGCCTAGATCTTGCTGTTCTCCAGGTGAGAGTCAATGTGTTTGATGAGGGCATCGTCCGGGTACCCAACGGGGAAGCCCAGCTGGCAGAGGGGGCAGCTGCGGATGTCGGAGCCCACCGTCTCCATCAGCAGCTGTGGGGAGAGAAGGAAGTCAGGGATGGTCTCTGCTCCGCCCCCGCATCTCTGCCCCCCTTTCCAAGGAGGGGGGTGGGCACTGCAGCATGCAGCAGGGGTCCCCCACCGCCAGATATGGGGTCCCCAGAAGGTGTACAGGAGTTAGTCACTGCCCAGCCTGCTCGGGCGCCTGCAGGAGTTAGGGTAGCCGACACCCAGACCAGGGTGCAGAGAGACTCAGTGCAAGGAGGGGCCCCCTACACAGTACGCAACCCCCTCCAATCTGCCATGTTCCCTCTGGCTGTGGAATACACGTAGGTCCCTCTAGGGGGCAGGGAGATAGTTGGGAAGTTCCCTGTGGCTCTGGGTGCTGCAGACCCGTGGCAGGGTTGTCCTCTGGCCAGCAGGACAACACAGGGTGGGTAGGCCTGTCCCTCTGCCAGCCCAGTGTACCGGAGACTGACAGGGTGCTCTCCACTTCTGGTTCACGCCTCCTCCTAAGCACCCTCCAAGGGTGCCACTCTGCAGTGAGGGGACTGTCAGGACTAGAAATCAGGGCCAGGATTGTCACTCAGCGTCACCACCTTAATGGTAGCGCCTCATAAGTCCCAAGGGTGCAGGCCTGGAGGGAGGGGACGAGGGCAGGGGTCTGTCCTGCAGCTGGGGGTGCATGCAGCAGGTCCCGTGCCTGGGAGGTGTGGAGCCCCCAGAAAGCAGGGCTTCCGCCCCCGCCGCCCACTCACGTTGATGGACGGCCAGGACTGTGCGTGCTCGGCGGGGGCGTAGGCAGCCGGCGACTCGGGGATCGGGAAGCCGGCGCAGAAGGAGGCGCAGCGGATGGCGCCGGCCTCGGGGCTGGGCGGGCTGGCGGGCACGGCCCCCCACTCGTCCTCCTCCGACGGCTGCTTCTCGAAGCGCAGCCGCAGCCCCTCGAAGGCGCGGCGCGGGCTGAGCGGCCGGCCGGGCCCGTAGAGCTCGGCGCCGGTGGCGGCGGCGTAGGCGCGGGGCTTGGGCAGCGTGGCGGCCTCGGCCTGCAGCCAGGCGGGGACGGCTCCGGCCAGAGCCGCGCCCTCCAGCAGCTCGGAGTAGCTGCGGCGGCCCTGGAAGCCGGCCTTGGCCAGCTGCGCGGGCGGCCGCGCGTAGGCGCGCTCGGGGGCGGGCGGGCGGTCGGCGGGGGGCGGCGGCGGCGGGGGCCGGGGCTGCGGGGCGGGGCCGCCGGGGGGCGCGGGCGAGCGGCGCTGCGGGCTGGGCGGCGGGCACGGGGGCGCGGGCGAGCGGCGCTGCTGGGGGGACGGGCACGGGGGCGCGGGCGAGCGGCGCTGCGGCACGGGCGACGGGCACGGGGGGCAGGGCGGCGGGGCGCGGGCCGGCGGGGACGGCGACGGGCATGGCGGGGCCGGGGAGTGGCGCTGCGACAGCGGCGAGTGCCTCTGGCCTGCAGGAGAGAGCAGCGGGCCGCGGCGGCCCGGGTGTGCGGGAGACGTCAGAAGTGGTGGCTGGAACTTGGACGGCTGGCAAGGCAGTCGCCTGGCCCCCTTCCCCCCTGGGCATCCCCGTCTCATGTCCCCAGCTCACCGCAGCTCCGCGCCTGCTCCTGCAGCAAGGTCCTCAGGATCCTCCCCTGCAGGGAACTCAGCTCCCGCAAGCGGCCCAGCTCCTCCGTCAGCTCCGTGTAGGCCAGTGCCAAATTCACCCTGAGGTTGTAGGAGCAGAGGAGGTGGGATGAGGGGCTTTATATTCCAGCCATGGAAGAAGAACCAGCTCAGCCCAGTATCGTCTGTCCCTGCTTCAAATGCAGGACTCTTCTTGAAGGTTTTAAGGTCCACCAGGCCTGGAATCCCAGCACTTGGGAGGCTGAGACAGGGGGATCTCTGAAAGCTCAAGGCCAACTTGGACTACATAGCAAGACCTTGTCTCAAAAATAAATCCACCTCAAATACCACCTCTTGCAGGCAGCCTCCATCTGTTTCCCAAGAACCAGTCCCCAGCTGGGGGAGATGGTTTGTGTCCCAATGGGGCAGAATAGGGGTGCAGAGAGATTCCCGGGGGCCCCTGCATCCCTGCGTGCACTGAGTGCTGGGAAACAGCTCCTACAGGTACGAGGTAACCTTTCCCAGATCCATGCAGGGCTCGTGCAGACGAAACAGGTTTGTTCACCCGGCAGCTGCATTGAATTTATAGTCGCCACTGTCCCTGTTTTTTTGGCTCCCTATGAAGCAGAGGTGCCCAGTGATAAACCTGGCCCCCCGTCGGCGGTGCCAGCTCACTGCTCTTGCCTCTACCCCAAGGCTGCCTCTGGCCTCCTTTCCACCTCACACCCCGGCCCACGGCTCGAGGGAGCAGGGTCTCGAGGGAGCAGGGTCCCTGGGGAGCTTAGAGAGCTGCTCTGTGTCCAGAGCCTGCAGGGGCACTGCCCATGCGACCTCTCACAGGTGCCTGCTCTGGAACTGTGCTTCGAGCTCCTTGAGAGCAGGAGTAGAGAGCTGTGCTAATGCCCAGCTCCTGGTGCCCAGGAGACGGTCAGCAAGTGGCCCACAAGCTGAGCCTTTGCGTCCGACCACTTCACTTCCTCCCTTCCTGCCAGCTCAGGCCTCCCGGGCGCACCCACCCTCACAGAGCTGGGAGGGTCTCAGTTCAGCAAGGGACCTCATGGCGCCCTTTCTCCCAGAGTGACCATGAGTCCAGAGCCATGGAAGGAAGCCATGTACTCTGCACCGATCACGGCACCCCTAGAAGCCTCTGCTGTGTCCTCAGGCCCTGCTGCCTTCACCTCTGTGTCGGGTTTGGACGGAAACCGGAGACCTCCCTCAGGGCAGGGGTCTGGTTTCCCTGGGTCTCCCTGGTGCCAGAGGGACCCTGGAACCTTGGAAGCTGGAGGTCGTGGGCAGTAGTAGCAGATATCACCCCAGGTAGATCACCTCCCACAGGCTTCCCCTCCCGTGCCAGGACAGAGGTCAGAATGCCACCAAAGTTCTCCAGCCCCATGGACCGGGTCTCTCCCCATTCTAGCTAAGGATGTGAGGGGGAGGGGCAGTGAGGGACAGGGCAGAGTGTGCACCTGCAACGTTGCAGGAGAGGAGGGGAACAGGGGAGAGCAGCCAGGTAGAGCAGGCAGGTGACGGTGTTCCTTCGCCCTGGCCCTTGGCTGCCACCCTTACCAACCGTGGGATGGCGCCAGGTGGCGGGGCGGGGAGCCTACATCAGGGGAGGGAACCTCACAGGATCCCAGTCGTTGGACCCCTTATCTGCTAACTGGGGACTCCCCTGGGAAGCCTCCCCCTTCAGACCCAGGATGACCTGCAGCCAGGACCTGAGGGCTTCCAGGAGGGAGGGTCAGGCCATATGCTCAGCTGTGCGGAGGGATGGACGGTGCTCTGGGCCAGGCACCGACAGACTGCCATCCTCCGCCCCACCCAGCCACAGCTGCTGCCGTCTGCCTGGGGGCTGCATCTCAGGTGACAGATACAGGTCGCTGCCTTCACACTCTGTCTCAAGATCTCACCTGCCACCCCGGGTTTGCAGGCCCCAGCTCTCCCCCATCGGGAGCCGCCCCAGTTTCTCCTGCCCGGCTCCTAGCTGTGAAGCAGGCAGACTCCCAAGACCCAGCTTGGGGTGCAGAGACCTGACACCATGGCCCTGTCCCCTCCTCAGGGAGGATGCATGTGACTCACTGCCAATTCAGTGGAAAAAGCCAATTTCACACATGTGCACTGCACTTCAACACACTGCATTCGGGCCTCCGCCTGAGCGCTGGCCACTGGCCGCGTTTCCTGCCATCCGGGCTCTGGGAAGAGCCTGCAGGGGAGCTGCAGGTGGCACAGTGGCACTCCCCTGGGGAGGGACTCCGGGACAGTGGGATCACAGATGACCTGCATGAGTGCAGCCCTGTGATGCTGTCATGGTCATCACCTCAGTATTACAGAGGAAGAAACAGGCTCACAGGCCAAGCTGCTTCACCAGCGCTACAGCTGAAAGGGCAGAGCCGTGCCCGCTTGGAGGAGGCGAAGTTCTGGCTCCTGCCTGCTCTGGAAGAGGAGGAGGCACAGGCGGCTGGGGACCTCTGAAGTGGCCCTGAGAACTGCTGGCCCTGTCTGGGGAGGAGGGAGGAGGAAGGAGGACACCAGAGCCGCTGAGAGCTGGCTCAAGATCACGGCACAGTGGTGGTGGCACAGAGCGAGATTTGAACTCTCGGCACCTGAGCCCGAGAGGCTGACACCTTCAGAGGAGCTGGAGCAGCCAGAGGTGGGCAGCACTGGCAGGAGGAGGGCACTTGGCTTCCAGTCACCCTCCCTTTCATTCATCCTCTCCACAGAAGACAGGCACCTCCCCAAGACTCCCTGAGACAATAATCTGTGCCATTATTGATAAAAGGGACTGATGCAGGCAGGTTAGAGGATGTGGCGGGGCCAGGGCTCAGGGTGAGGAGAAGCGGGGTCACCCTGGAATGGCTCAGAGCTGGGGGTAGGCTGAGCCTCAGGGTCGGGGCTGAGGCCAGGACTCCAGCAGCCTGGGCGCTGAGAATCACCATTTGATTCAGAACTGGGCATGAAAGAGGACCCAGCATTCCCCCACTGCCCCCCCGCTGCCCCCCGCTGCCCCCAGCTGGCCCGGCTGCCTCGCCCTGTGCCCTGTGGGGGAACTCGGGGGGCGAACTTTCCACCACCCACAGGCACACCCAGCATCGGCCTTCCCGCCTGCCCGACCCTTGGGGAGGGGACCACAGGCACCGGGCTGTGGCGCGGACTTGAGGTTGCGGGCTGGGGAGGAGGAAGTCACTCGCCTCCACTTCCTTTGCGCCTTGAGCCCTCCGCTCCCCTGCGGCTGCCGAGCCCCAGTCCCCAGAGCTGGCTCTCTGTGCCCGCTCCCCGCCATGCTTCCAGCACAACCAGGTGCCAACGGGGTCCAGAGGCCTCCTGGGGCTCACGGCGGGCATGGGAGCCAGGGTTCCCCATTCACCCAGGACTGTCCGGCCTCATGCTCCTTAGGTGCCCAGCGTAATTAGTAACAGTGCCTCTTTCACTTTCAGATTGATCTGATTCGGTCAACAGATCACATGGCTGCCCTCACAGAAGAGCTTCCTACCTGCAGGAGAACCTGGCTGGGAAAACACCACGAAGTCCCCTCACCCCACCTGCTTGGACCCTGCTGCATAGACGAGGAATCCTGGGAAGCTTGGGGGACTGGTGGGGACAGGAGCAAGCTCATTTTTTGGAGATGCCAGCTTCAGATCTGGCTTAGGAAGGAGGGAAGGGCCCTGTACTGGGGAGGCTGAGGCAGGAGGATCACTGTGATTTGGAGGCCAGCCTGGGCTCCATAGTGAGTTTAAGGGCAGTCTGAACTGCATAGCCAGACTATGTCAAGAAAACAAAAAGAGGAGGGGAGGAGGAAGCGTTCCTCATCCAGGAGACAACCCGGCCAGGGCTCCATGGCTGGTTAGCACAGGGTCAAGACCCCCCCATAGTGCCCAGTCTCAGCCCTGCTCAGGGGAGCCAGGGCCCTGCGCTGTGAGTGCTCAGGGGTTAATTCCTGTGTGCACAGGGTGCCGGGGCTACAGGAGCCTCGACAGAAAGGAAGTAGAGGGGGTGAGAAGCCTGGAGGGGGAGGCCCTGCGCCTGCTGGTTCTGGGGCATGGGACTAAGCTGGGGTACGCAGGGGTCTCCAACTTCCGTCCTGACCCAGCTCACACTGCCCTTGACCTCCGAGCAGAGTTTCCACCCTCTCTCTCCGAGTTCACACTTCAGCCCCACCGCTAACCGCAGCCCACGCAGAGGCTTGTGGGTGGGGAGAGGGGGGCAGGGGATGGGTGGGCGGAAAAGGGCCAGGCCACAGCACTGAGCCCCCTGTGCGAGGTGCACAGTCCCGCCCTGTCACTGCTCACAGAGCATGGGCTCCTCACCAAGGGCCACCCCAAAGGGCACCCTCCCTTCTGGGCCCAGGTCCCTCTCAGGACCCCCTGGGCCTTGTCCCTCCCACAGCACCCCTCACACTTGCCCAGTCCTTCACACTGGTCCCATCCTCAGAAAGTCCCACTTGTGCCCCCACCTCACCTCAGGGGACCCTTATAGGCTCCTCACTTCGGGGGCAGGTGAGTTGCACCTCGCTTTCCTCTGCAATGGCTTTGGCCCCTGAGTGACCCTTAGACAGGGAACCTGGGCAGCCAGGGAGGGGGGCATCCAGCGCTGCTGCATGGACTCAGAGGTGGGACCAGCACCAGGATTAAAGCGAGGCTTCCCCAAGTGGTTCCCACAGCCCCAGGATACTAGCTGAGACCAGCGGGTGGCACCTTCCAGGGCCCAGAAGACCTCATACACGTGCCACACTCAGCACTGTGAACCCCTCCGCCGCTCCCACACTGCGCTCCTGGAAAAGCCTGAGCCCAGGGGCAGCAGCTCTGCAAGGCACTGCAGGCTGGTGGAGCGGGGAACAGGGTCAGGGACCCGGAGTGCACGTGACTGAGGCTCCCTTGGGTGGGAGGACGAGAGGGAGCCCTCCTCGGGAAGAGCCTGTTACCAAAAGGAGCTGCATTTATGAGAAAATAAAACTCCGGGGGAGGGAGGACTTCCTGACAGCTCTCTGTTGTCTGCGAGTACTGAGCGCTGGCCTGGGGAAGAGAGGCTCGGCCTTGGGGGACCCCATGGGCCAGGTGCCAAGGATGCCAGGTGGGGAGGGATGAGGCGGTCCCCAGGCCCCTGTGGCGCAGTTCTGTCCCACTCAGCACACAAGGCTTTTCAGGGACCCCGAATCCTTCCCTGAGCTGGCCAGTCTCGCTCCTGGTGGGAGCTGGCATTCCTGTGCGCCCCGACGCTGAGCACACGGGCTAGGGTAGCCCCTCTCTGCAAAGGCCACAGTGGCCCTCGGCAGCCTAGCACAGGAGTCGCAGCCACCATCGCGCAGCCTGAGTTCTCACCCAGCTGCCACAGCTCCACCCAGGCCCTCGGCCCATGGTAGGGAGGGAGGCACAGGAGTGGGGGGGCGCAGGTCAGAAGCCCAAGAAGGATGGGGAGGCCACCTGTCCACTGGGAGGGCCCCTTGGGTCCTGGTGGGGTACTGTGGGATGCAGGGCAGGTCCCAGCCTCAGTCTCCCCACCAGTGAACACAGTCACCCTGACGTGTGTGCCACTCGGCTCCTCAGAGGGGAAGGACTTAGGCGGAAGGAGGTTTGAGCTATTTCTCAGAAAGTGGGAGAGGACGAGCTTGGGTGCAGGGCCCCACGGTCCCCTCCCGCCCTACTCCTGAGGCCGCCCTTGCCTGCAGGATCCCTAAGTGCATCTGTGTCCTGAGCCACTGCTGTGTGACCTCAGGGAAGCCCCTCCTGCCTCCAAGGTTCCACCCTTGAGACCACAGACAGACAAGGCATCACACCCGGCCCGTCCTCACCAGGAGGGGACAGTAAGCCTGACTATCTGAGCCTTGCTCCTGTATAGACAGTGGAGCCGCAGAGAGGCTCCCCCAAACTCACCATAGCACATACACTATGACACTGTGTAAACCTCAGAACACCTCAAAAAGAGATGGGCTCCATCCCAGAGGAAGGCAGACAGCATCTCACAACTCATCTCCTTTCTGGGACAGACACCCGGACACACTACTACCCTGAGGCTCCGGAAGAGAGGTCACGCAAACAACACAGAGCACTGGCCACGGTGGCACACACCTATAATGCTAGCACATGGGATGCTGAGGCAGGAGGATCGCCCCAAGTTCAAGGCCAGCCTGGGCTACATAGTGAATTCAAGGCCAAGCCTGGACTGCATAATGAAACCCTGTCTCAGAAAACAAAACCAAATAATGACAAATTACAAAAGCAAACTTAATAGGGACACAACCCTCTGTCCCAGGTTAAGACAGGGTCAAACACAGTGATACACGCCTGCCATCCCAGTGCTGGGGAGGCTGAGGCAGGAGGATCATTGCAACTTCAAGGGCAGGTGGGCCACATAGTTTAAGACAAGCCTGAACCACACAGGGATACCCTATCTTGAAACAAAACCAATCAGAACCCCAAAACAAAACATAAGAGGTTAAGATGGCCAGGGTTACAGGCATGACTTACTGGTCGTCACCAACTCTCTTCACCCATGCCATGTCCCGCTCTGACTGGTTGGAGGCCAGGTCCTGGAGGAGTGGACAGAGAGGTGAGTGCTCCCTGCCAGGTGCCTGCACGCTGGACTCTACAGGCTGCCCGTGCCCACTGCCTTCAGTACCTGTGCGCGCGTCTCCTGCAGCTGCTTCAGCTCCCCCTGCAGCCGCTCGCACTCAGCCTGCAGCTGCTCCTCCCGGAGCTGAGCCCCCCGTGCCTCGCCCTGGGCCGCCTCCAACGCCTCCTCCAGCCGCCGCCGCTCCAGCTCGCTCACACTCGGCGAGGGCCCCGGCCAGGCCGCTGTCCAATGGAACAAGGTCAACATGAGGCCCCGGCCCGGCTGCCTAAGGCGGGCCGGGTGGGGACCGCAGGAGGAGGACGGGCTGCCTGCTGGAGGCCTCGTTTTGGTAACACAGCCTGGGCCGCTCGGTCTGCAGCATCCTCGGGCCTTCCCTAAGCACCCCGAGACAGGCCCCACACGCTGGGTGGGGGCGCCCTCTGCTGGCACACCTGCGAACTGCAACGGGTCGGCCGGACTTGCTAGGCGAGAGGGGCCCAGTTACAAGGCGAGGTGAGACGGTGACGCTGGGGAAAGAGTGGCTGAGGTCTGGGAACAGGGATCGGGTGACTATGGGAAACATTTAAGCTATTACAACAAGGACTTCAGTCAGCAAGAGGTGTCCAGTGGTGTTGCAATGGGGAAGAGGCCTGAGGGGACTCAGCATCAGGAAGACAGGGGTTGCTGAGCACTCACCGTGACCCATGGTGGATCCCCCTCGCAGAGCCAGGTAATGCAGGTCTAGGTCGGTGCAGGGTGGGGTGGGGGCTGGCGGGGGGCTCAGGCTGGAGAAGGCTGCATCCCGGAGACCTTGCTGCTGCCGCAGCTGCTGCTCTAAGCCGCAGATCTGCCGCAAATGTGTCTCTACCAGAGCCCGCTGCGGGAGAAGGCACAGGCACTGATGGTCCCGGACTCCCCACCTCTGGCCAGCTGTCACCCTCCACATGGGGCAGAGGTCACCCGTTTGCTTGCCCCTCCCCCGTCCCCTCTCCAAGCAGCTGTGGGCACGAGGACTCCTTCCCCAGGAGCTGCGACGCAGATGCTAATAGAGCAAAGCGCTCCGACACGAAGGCCGTTTCATTTCCTTTGCTTCCAGAGATGCGATGGAAGCTAAGTGATTTGACCAGGGTCACAGTAGGGAACTGGCAGAGGCTGTGTTCCCATGCGTGGCTCCACAAGGACCTGCCAACACCCAGCCTACTGCGACAGGCCGACCTGACGGAATGGATCCTCACTCATGGATCCTGTGCAGTCACCCACTGCCAGGATGACACATGCAACCACAACACCTAGACCAAGTGGGCACTCAGGGGGACGCATGCCCACGAGTGCAGTGCAGGTGGCACTCACAGGGATGCATGCGCACAAGCAGGGTGCAGGTGGCACTCAGGTGTACATGTGCACAAGTGGGATGCCCTTGGTGCTCATGGGGGCACACTGGCATGAGCTGGGTGCCCAAGGCACCTCCACCTCCTGGCCTCACCATTTCTCCCAGCTCCGTCTCCAGGTCGCTCTTTTCTACGCAGAGTTTCTCGTAAGCCTGGATCATCTCCCCCAGCTGCTCTTCCTGTTCCTTGTTCTTCTGCAACTGCATAGGCCGAGTTGGGCATTCCAGAGTCAGGTGCATGCGTGTGTGCGTGCACGTGCATGCACACACACACACACACACACACACATACACACACCACACCCAACCACCCCACTCCCAGAAACCTGTGGAGGGGCAGGAGGAGCACCATGGCCACCTCAGATGGGCAGGCACGGGGCTGAGGCTGGGCAGGGGGCCGCCGGGAGCTGGGCGCCAGCAGGCTGGACTCACCTCGTGCTGGAACTGGTTGAGCCTCTGCTGCAGGCTGACCTGTTCCACCTCCAGCAGGGAGCCGTCCTGGATTTCATACAGAGAGAAGCCGTGCTCCTCACCGAAGTCACTGATCAGCGGGTACTGCAGGAGGGGACGGAAGAAGGGCGGGTCCTCAGGAAGGCTGGAGCCAGCTCCCCACCCATGTCCATCTCCCATCTCCCAAGTCCCCGGCTGTCCTCCTGTCCTCTGGCAGAATCCACAGCCCCAAAAGCCGTTTCTCCTGAGTGGCTGCTGGGCTCTGATTCTGCCTCCAGAGCAGCTGCCCCATTCCCTCCTCTGGACCCCTGGATTGTGGCTGAACCCCAGTCTCTGCCACCCACAATCCTGACCTTGATCTCATAGACCTTTAGTCTGCGGCGGAGGGTGGCATTCTCCCTCTCCAGGCCCCCCAGTCGCTCCTTGATGTCCCCATAAGCCGTGATGAGGGCGAAGTGGGAGGCTGAGCCCATGTCCCCCCCCATCGAGGGGTCTCCGGGGCCATCCAGCCACACCTCACTGGGCCCCAGGGCCTCCTGGGTCAGGATGCTGATGTCATCCTCAAACATGGTCTCCATGGGAGCGGCCTTGGCCCACTTCGAGCCTCCTGGGGAGCAGGAACAGGAGAGGAACACCTGGGCCCAGACCCCTCACACAGACCCCAGCCGGTAGGAGCTCCCCCTGACGAGGCCTGGGTGCCTCCTGTCCACCTTTCGGTGGGGGGCTCCTGCAGCGCAGCTCAGACCACCAAGCCCCATTTTCTGGGGCGGAAGGAGCAGGAGTTAGGCGAGGCCTGGGGGACAGCTGACACACAGGGACAAGGAAGCCCAGCCAGCAGCAAGCAAGGAAGATGTGTGGACCCGCAGGAGGGCGGCCTTCCTCCCTCAGTCCCCTTCCTGAGTACCAGGCCACCCTCTCAAGGCCCCTGGCACCCCAGCTTCTCCGCAAGAAGGCCCAGTGCTCGCTCCTGGAGCAGAGCGGGCGTTGCCAGCCCATGGCCAACGTTGCTTCCTCTCGCAGGATCTGAGTTCAGGAAAGGGAAGTGCCTCCCCTGCGATGGGGCTGTGGCCAACGTCCAGACGCAGCCCCTGACCTGGACCTACAGGAAGTCCTTGGCGCAGTGTCAAACTGGGCAAGGGGGCTGGGGAGGAGCTGCATCCCCAGCCTGTCCCTGTGTGGTGGCACACCAGGGAGCCCTGGAAGGGGGCAGGGATGACTCAGGGCTCCTAAAGAGAGAGTAGGCAGCGAGGGGGTGCATGTGTACTTCTGGGCCCTGTTTGTGAATGTGTGTCAGGCTGGCTGGCGTGGGGGAGTGTGTCTGTGAATGAGTGGAGGTGTGTCACCGTCAATGGGCGCCTTTGCGGGGCGCGGGTGGGGGTCGAGTTGGGAAGCAGCTGGGGAGGCTGAGTGTGTGCGCGCGCGTGTGACCACGCGTGCGTGAGCGTGTGGAGCGGATGGGCACGTTCGGGCCGCATGTCACGTGAGGAACTATGGGAATGTCCAAGGTGTGTGCGCGTGGAATGTGTGCGCCTGGGCCAGGGGCTCGGCGGTGGGGGTCCCACGCGGGGCGCACGGGCTGGGATGCAGGCCCCACGTCTCCCGTCCTGCTCTAGCATACTCTTGAGAGCCAGGGAGACGCGTGTGGCCGGGCTGAGTAAGGAGCGCGCGTGTGTAGTGCCGGCCCCACCTTTAACCCTGTGCTGCCCACGCCGCCACCCCCCCTCCCGCTGGGCGCTGGCCACGCCTCCCGGACCCCTGCCCGCCGCCCCAGGCCACCCCCTGGCGGGCTCCGGGCCCGGACAGCGCATCCGCGCCGCCCCTTGCGTCCTCCTCCCGGCCTGGGGCCCGGCGGAGCGCCGCGGCAGGCGGCTGGGGAGGGGGTGCCCCGCCGCCAGGGCCCCTCCTGCGGCGCCTTTAAGAGCCGTCCTTTAACCCCGCCAGCTCGCCCGAGGAAAGTGTGGGCCTCCCCTCCCGGCCGGGGCCACGCAGCCCCCTTCCCGCGCCCTCTCGGCCGGGCCGGGGGCTCCGAGGCGGCGCGGCCTGGGCGGCGGCGGAACCGGGGGGCTGCGCGCCGCCCGCACCGGCCCCTGTCCGCCGGGCCACCCGATGCCAGCTTCTCCGGCCCCGCGCGGCAGCCCCCCGCCACCCCGCGACCCCCGCGGCCCGGCCGGGCACTTACAGCGGCTCCGCTTCCTGCGTGCGATCACAGCGAACGCCCTCCGCCGGCGCCCGCCCCAGCCGGGCCCCGGGCCCCCACCCCCCTGGCACCGCGCTCCGCTCCGCGCCCTGTCGCCGCCGCCGGGTCTCTCCCCGCCCCCCACCCCTCCCCCACCCGCTCCCGCCCGCCCCGCTCCTCCTCCGCCGCCGCCGCCGCCGCCGCCGCCGCCGCCGTCTCCTCCGCCTCTTCCTCCCTGGCTGCTCCGGGCTGCTCCGGCTGGGAAGGCACCCGGGACCCCGCCGCTGCCACCGCCACGTGGCGAGGGGCGGCGGCCCCCCGCGGTGCGCCCGGCCGGACCTGGCAGCGCGCCCGGCGCCCACCGGCTGCAGGCCTGCCCGCCTCCTTGGCCGGCGCAGTGTGGCGTGGTGGCGCTGCCGGGGGCTGCGCGGGGGCGTCTGCGCCTTCGATCCCGACTGTGCCACCAGGGAGGAAGTGGGACGATGATTTGATGCTGATTTGTTTTTATTTTTATTTTTTAAAATCTGCTCCTTAGACCTCCGTAGTCTGCGCGCGGAGAAGGGGGCACTGCTGCGATTGTACACTGAATGCGGGGTGCGGAGGGGGAGATCAGTTCGATTTGTAACTTGGAAAGGTTGAGTGGAGAGGTCAAATGTTCATTTAGGGACAGGACACCCCCACACACACACCCGGCCCCCATCACGCGCAAGCTCCCACAGGCCAGAGAAATGAACAAACAGTAAACAGCGTGTTTCACCCTTTCCACAGAAATTATTCCAGCACCTGCCAAACTGCTGAGCAGGAGATGCAAGTTTTTTGCCACTTTGCCACTGAGTGACCTTGGCAAGTTCCCTGCTTCTCTGAGTTAGCCTGGACATCCCTGGTGACTGTCTCTCTCATTCGGGAGAGCAAGAGGTCAGAACTAAAGGCCTGGGGATGTGAATGACTTCTGTGCACAGAGACAGGGTGAGCCGGGTGTGTGGGCCTGGTGAGGAAACTGGAGAGTCCCACCCAGGGGCACAGGCTGGGAGAGGGCTCACCTGGCCCCCACTCCCACCCCAAGCTGCTGGGAACCCGCAGAAGCTAGCCTTTCTGGCTCTTCTGGATCTATGGTGCATCTGAGAGAGAAGGGAGGAATGGAGGAAAGGACTCTTGCCCTTGTGAACTCCAAGAAGCACCGGCAGATGATGGGTGCCCACTGTAGGGGGCACACTGGGCTGGGTCAGCTGAGCCCCCTGGACCAGAGTCTTCTCTCCTAAGGATGGGGTCCCCTGGCTTCCTCTGCTTGCTGTTGGTCTGCTCCCTTTTAGGGTCGGGAGCACTCACTGCCCCTGAGCTGTTTGGGACAAGCCTCTTACCCTCTAGAGTGCAGGGGACAACTGTCACCCACTGACCCCACAGTCAAGGCAGGGTTCCCCTAATGATGAAGCAGGACATCAGATCAGACTGGAGGCTAGGGCCAAAGGGAGAAGTTGGGGTTGTTTTGGGTGGGTGTGGACCCACCAGTGAGCCTATCCTTGCTAGGAGAGGCCGAGGCAGGGCAGGGACCTCTCAGCTGCTGTCTGGGTGTCCTGGAAACTTGTTGCTGCCTGGCTGCTCACAGAAAGCCCCAAGTGAGTTGCCTGGCAGGGTACAGCCCCCGGCCAGTCCCAGGTTCTTGGTGGCAAAAGCCCAAAACGATTACGCCAGCTTGGGTCCCTCCCAACTCACCCTTGCTCTCCTCCCTGTGCTGGGCGAATCCTCAGAACTTTCTCCCGGCTTCTGTTCTGTGCACGGTGGACAGGTCTGAGGGCAGGGCCTGTGTCCCTCCAGCTGTGGCCCCAAGCCCCATCCACATCTGTGCTGGGCCAGGTGCTGAGAACTCATGAGTGCATGTGTGTGTCTCCCTTGCCAGCAGGGAGCCTCGACTCATTTCACTCTACCTGAGTCACAGCCTCAGTCCCAAAGAACAGAAACATGGTCAGAAACAGAAAAAAGATGAATCGGTGTTTCTGAAATGGATGAACCAGTAAGGCAATTACAGACTTTGGTAAAGGGCTAGGGATGGTGGACTCCCGGCAGTCTGGGCGACTGAGGCAGGAGGATCAAAAGTTGGAGCCCAGCCTGGGGAGTTAATGATTTAGGTAGACACTGCCTCAAAATTTTAAAAATGTAGCTGGGTGGGGCTGGGGATTTAGCTCAGCGGCATAAGCACCTGCCTTACAAGCAGGCGGTCGTGAGTTCGAGCCCCAGTATCAATGGGGAAAAAAAAATGTAGCTGGGTGCAGTAGCACATGCCTGTCATCCCAGCACTCCGGAGGCTGAGGCAGGATTGCTGTGAGTTCAAGGTCAACCTGAGCTACAAAGTGAGCTCAAGGCCAGCCTGAGCCATATAGTGAAACCCTACCTCAAAAAAGACCAAAAAAATAAAAAACGCAAAAAGGAGTGGGGCTGTAACTCAGAAGGAACATAAAGAGGTAAAGGTGAGCAGGATCTGTTTCAGTCATACGAGGAGGATGCCTGAGGAGCAGGCACTGAGAGGGGACCCTCAGGTGGTGGTGGAGACCGGGTGGCACTTGTGCTACAGCAGCTGCTTGTTATCACTGAACGCTCTGCCAGGTTTGCCATCACTGCCCTAGAAGGTAAGGGTGTTTGCTGAGGGAGTAAAGGAAAGAAGCCAAGTGGTTCACAAGTAGTTGGTTCATCTCTACGAAAGCTGGACATTGTGTGAATCTCTTAAGATCCCCAACATTTGTTTGAGACAGGGCCCCTCTATGTGGTTCCAGCTGGTCCCAAATGAGGTGATCCTCCTGCCTCAGCCTCCTGAGTGCTGGGATTACAGGCGTGCACTGCCATGCTCAGCTAAGACCTCCTCATGGAGGAGACAGAGGAAGGTAGAAAGCAGTGTCAGGGGAGATGAGATGGTGCTCAGGTGGGAGAGTTGAGGGGATGCTGGCCTCTCCAGGCTCGGAAGCGGGGAAGCAGGGAGCCCCTGCCCATTGTTATCGAGGAGAGACAAATTTCTGCACGGAAACCCTCAGGGAGTCTCTCCACATTCTTGGCTTCTCTGGAGAAACTTTTCCCTGACCCATTCTTGCCTGAGGAGTAGGTGGTGGCATTAGACTGGATCAAAATAAAACCAGGAGACTCAAACAGAATGTAGTGGGTAAGAAGATTAACACGTGACAACCTATCACCCCCAGGCCCCCCCCATTGGTTCCCGACCTTAGGAATCACAGCCACTGAGGCCCATCAGGAGCACCCAAGATGGGGTTGGTACGGTGGGGGGAATTCACCCCTGTAGCAACACCCCAAGTTCCCACAGAGGTCATGTACAGCTTCTAACTGTATTAGCAGAACTTGGGAGGACATGGGAGGCATTGCTTGCTCTTCCATCATTCTATATAGGCTTTTTTTTGGTGCCAGGAATCAAACTCAGGACCTTGTACCTGCCAGGCAGGCACTTGTGCCTCTGAGCTAAATCGCCAAGTGGCAATTGAACTCCAGACCTCACACATACTAGGCAAATGCTGTACCACTAAGCTACATTCTCAGTCCCGAGTAGCAATTTTTTTTTTTTTTTTGTCTTTTTCATTTTTATCGGTACCAGGGATCAAACTCACGACCACCTGCTTGCAAGGCAGGTGCTTATGCCGCTGAGCTAAATCCCCAGCCCGGGTGGCATTTTTTAAAAATTATAGTGAGCGGGTGTGATAGTGCACAGCTGTGATCCCTGCAGTGTGGAAGGCTGTGGCAGGAGAGTCACAAGTTTGAGCTCAGCCTGGGCAGCTTGGTGATTTTGTGAGATGCTGCCTGAAAAGAAAAGAATTTTATGAAGGGCTGAGGATGTAGCTCAGTGAAGGTCCTGGGTTCGTTCCTCAGGACTAGGGATTACTGGATAGCTGTTATGTATTTTCTGCCAGAGCTCCACAGGAAAGGGTTAGTGTAGCACTGTAGCCTGTGACGTGCAGATGCAAATAGCTGTCCCGAACGCTGGTCTGTGGGGGAGGCCCCACATGCATTACCTTTCACTGGGATGCGTTTTACAAATGAGGAAACTGAGGATCAAAAAAGTTGATGAGTTTGCCAAGGTCAAACTTAGAAGGCTAAAGCCCCTGGAAGGGCAGTGGGTAAAACAGCAGGCCACAATCCCAGCCCTGGGGAGCGTGTCTGTCTGCAGCAGAGCCCTTGAAGGCCTGCGGAGCCGTTTCACATGAGGTCAGCTCTGCTGGGGGACTTACTGCAGGGGGGCACCTGGGAAAGAGACCTATTGCCAGGGCTCGCAGGCCCATGTGGCACAGGATCTGCTGATGGGCTAGGGGAATCCAATGGGAGCTTACTCAGCGGCTCTGTGGCCTCTCTAACCACCAGGCACCTGAAGCCACCCCTCCCCCAGCCTGGTCCAGTAAGTGCAGGAAGATGGTCTAGGTCAAATTCCAGTCAGGAAGTGAGAATTCACACGCATAGACAGACACACACACACACACCCTCCACTGAGTGAGGAGTTTGGCAAGTCAGATGTAGTGGCATTCACTTGTAACCCCACCACTCTGAAAGACTGAGGCAGGAGGATTCCAACTTTGAGCCTAGCCTGGGCAAATAATGAAAACCTGTCTCAAATATGGGAGAAGCCAGGAGTGGTGGCTCATGCCTGTAATCCCAGCACTTGGGAGGCTGAGGCAGGAGAATCATTTTGAGTTCAAGACCAGCCTGGGATACAAAGTGAGCTCAAGGCCAGCCTGAACTGCACAGAGACCGTCTCAAAAAGATAGGAAAAAAAAAAGGGGGGGGGGGGGGAGCTGGGGACATAGCTCTCTGCAAAAGCCTCAATCCCTAATACATACGAGAGGTGTCCCCCAGAGGTTCCCCATAGACCTCCCAGAGTTAAGACAAAATGGCCAGGTCTGCACAAGGGAGCCCGAGGGATGGGCACAGCCTGAGGCCAGGTGGGGCCAGCTGCACAACTCTGGGCAGGGTCCTTCGCTTGCACACTTATCTGTAAAATGGAACTGAGGCGGCAGGTCTTGGCATCAGGCAAATGCAGGCAGACTCCATCACTTTTGTGTGCAGATTTTGGACCTGCCATCCACTAAGTACAGAAATGGGCTGCCATGTAAATAACGGCTGATGATTGGCTAATCCTCTTCCCTCCCCAGTCAACCCAAGGCTAAGAAGCCAGCAGGAACACCCCCAGGAGTCCCCCAGCAAATGAGGGCCTGAGCCTGCCCTGCTGCTCATTCCCAGGTTTCTGGACTTGTGGCTCTCTTCCGGGACCAAGCAATGTTTTGGAAACTGCCTGCACTGTGATGTGCTGCACTGCCAGGTTGTCAGCTCGGCCCACATTTACCGAATCTGCCGAATGCTGGGTGCAGCTCTGAGTAGGGCATGTAGTGCCAAGACAGCCACGGCCACTGTAGCCTCAGGGGCCAACTCACCTAGTCTAGTGTCTGCTTTTAGACACTGCCTGGAGCAGCTCAGGGGAACCTGTTGCAGTGTGACAGTGCCTGCAGCATTGCCCACAGCAAGCGTGTGCAACACTTGTGAAGTGTGAGGTGTTGTGGCAGGCAGGGTGGGGGTCTGTGTCTTCCTGGTGACCTGGGTCTGGTGGTCCCTAAGCTGTCCTGAGAATTAGTGAAGCCCAGCACCCAGTGTTCCTGGCCTGAGTCGCTGCACAGGGTGGGTTGAGGCCGTGGGGCTGAGGCACCGCGTTTCTGAGTGTGTGCTAGTGACAGTGGTGGCACCCTGGTGCTATCGCTGCTCAAGATTCTACGCAGAACTGCAAGCTGCTTCCTTAAGCCAGTCTCTCCAGAGTTGGGCAGAAAAATACTAGAACTTCTATTTATAGTTAACTCACATAATTGCTTTTGAATGTCTTTGTCTTGATTACAGTAGTACAGTAGTAGTACAAGTGCAACAGCACACCAGAGCACGTGGTCCAAGTCTCATCCTGACAGTGGTCAGCAAGGCCAAAGGGGCCGAGGCCCAGTGTGCGAGGCTGGCCCTCACCTGCGCGCCCAGCGTGAACTGAGGAAGCCCGAACCGCTGCGGCAAACCCCAACCCACACCTGCCTGTACTCGCAGGGTCAAGAGCCCTGCTTGCCAGCAGACACACCCACAGCGCACTCTGGCTCCTTTCAAACCGATCACTTCACCTCCAGAGGCAACACCTTCTGCAACGAAGAAAAGCAGCAGCAAAAGGTTGAAAATAAAAATAAAGCGGACTTTATTTAGAAGATAAAGGTGGTGGGATCAGTTTTGGTTAATAAAGTTGGGCTCAAGTGTTTTAACAGGTCTTTAATGCCATCACACAGACTGGCATGCCAAAGGCATTCTGAATGCCAATTACAGATCAAAGATGCTTCCAAAACCAAGACGCTATTGAAAGCTGATGGAGTTTGGATTTCTCTTAAGGTTGGACTAACACGCTTCTTAAATAGGAAGATTAAATGAGACTGCTTGGTTCAGAGAGTTAAAACACTACACTGAGCGATTCCCTGCCCTTTCTCTCCAAGTCCCTAGGGCAATGATAGTTGCCTCTGACAGCTAAAATGTCAACATTTCAACAGAGGAGGGCTGAGGGCAACTGGAGAGAATGAAGAACAAAATTAATAAGTGTAACTGTATAGGCAGCTGCCACTCGCCACAAACCCAAGTCTAGTCCGACGCCCGTTTTCTTCCCACTTGCACCGACATCTTCCCAAGCAGACTGTCAGGACATTCTGAAGGAATGTGCCGAGGAGACAGGGTGGGGGGCCCGGCCAAGCGCATGCAGGGTACACCCGCATCCAGGCGCGGTGGGCAGTGCCGAGGACTAAGGACAGGGAGCTAGGAGAGAGGGCTAAATGCAAAACCAATGCAGACGTCTGCAAGGCACCAAGACCACAATCCAAGCAGCCGTGGTCTCCTGTCCAGCCGCCGTGGGCCCTGGGAGCGCGCGTGCACCACAGCACGCACCAGCTGCTCCCCTGGAACCACACACGACAAAGCACACGCGAGGTTTTGTTTTCATTGCGGTTCTCGGTGTTCTTTATTCTCCTGCTGCTGTCTAGCTAAGCAGCTCACACAGGACAGACACAGGTAGCACTGAGGAATGATCAGATTATTTGCCTTTCACAAGATTCCTGCCCCTCCTCCCTACGCCCGCTCCAGCCCTATCTACTATCAGGAATGCTTAGTCTAACACCTGCTTCTGAGAGAAACTAAAACAAGGCAGCAGAGCCCAGGCCCCCAGCACAGTGCAGTGGGGCTGGGGAGCTGGTGTCCTCGGCTCTTTTCCTCGGCACCATGGAGTGGCCCTCCTTCAAACACCTGGATTTTTTTTTTTTTTGTACACTGGTTCATAGATCGGCACTTGACTTTGAACCTGGCACCAAAAGGCACAATATCTGATACCCTGTACAAGAGCTATTAGAGATGCTGCCATGAGGTGAGCAAAACCGAGCCAATCCCACTCAGGAACGAAGGCTGCGGGGAGGGGCAAAAAGAAAGACATGGGGGAAAATGCAAGCCTCTGCTAGCATGAGGTCCTGATTTTAATCCTCCTATTAACCAGGAAGCAATTTAGAAAAAACTTCTGTGATGTTTTCCAAAGCAGCATATTCAAAATGCCAGCAAAAAACCTAGTATCTGCTCAACTCAAAGATATGATCAAAGCTCACTGACATTCCTTCTTATTGCTAAGATTCTAAAATTTAGGGTGCCCTGTTCCCCTTGTAAAAGGGAAAATATTCTGATTTATGATCAGCACAGCACATCACACTTTTTAAAAAGTACTAAAGCGTGTGAGTCGGGATGTCTGACACCGCTTCAATGACCTCCACGTTAGTGGACAGACAGACTCCTGGGCGAGCGCCACTGCACCGCTAGGCTCTGGGCGGTGTGCAGACACACACGCCCACTCCGGCCCTTTATGTTAGGTTAGGGTTTTCAAAGTGCAGCAAGAGACCAATACCGCATTGTACTCAATCAAAGAAAAGAGAACAGAAGGCCAAGCAGTTTCCAAATGGTTATTTTATCAGATTGTTTGAACATTAAATTTATCCTCATTTGCAATCCAAAATAGTGACCTGAAGTTGGCTGTTTTGTGTGTGTGTCTATTTACTTTTATCATGTATTTCTTTTCTAATGTCTTTGGCACAATTGTTGCTGGGGGCATTCAGACTGCCACAATACAAGTCAGGAGAGAGCTTTGATTTTCTGCTGCCAATTTTGAGCATTTAGAATTTGGTTGGGCTGTGGCTCTTTAGTCTCTGAAGTCTGCGTTTTAATTTCCTCTACCCTCTACCTCGGAGTTCCTTCTCCCCCCTCCTACATTCACAGTTGAGCCGTATTCTCAGGAAAGGCGCTTTGAGGGAGATACCAGGTAGAAGCCCTGATGGTGGTCAGTGTTTCCCTAGAGTAATTAAAAAAACAAACAAAAACCAAACCTAAACAGCGTCTTTCCTTTTTTTCCTTTTAAACATCTCTTGTGCTGCATCAGTAGACAGAACTTCGGTTAGTTTATGAAATGCAACATCTAACCCTCGCTTTCTGGGAAAAAGAAACCGCAATGACTTGAAGTTGAGAATGTGGGTCCCGCCGCACTCACACACACTCATTCTCAGACCCTAGTGCCCCTGCCCCCTCCTCCCACAGGCACACAGGCCCGCGCACAGGGACAGCGGAGGCGCCCGCGACCAGCTCCCTTCTCCTCAGTAGCACAGCCAGGCCGCCTCGCAGCACAGCACGCAGCAGGGCCAGCCTCCGCCCGACCCAGCCGCGGCGCTCGGCTCGCCGCAGACACAGAAGCCAGCCCCAGCCTCCGAAGAGCCAGCGTCGCCGGCACACCCGCGCCTCTCCTCCAGGCTGGCCTCGTCTGTCGGGGTCTCCTAGAAGTCAGTGCTCGCTGAGCTCCCCAACAGCGCTGCGGCTGCGGCGGCGGCTGCTGCGGCAGGATTTCAATGTGGTGTGTTTCAAGCCTCACTCACTCACCCTCTCACTCCCAAACACTCAGCATCCGTGCACACTCCTCACTTCCGGGTTTGTCAAAAGATTGGAGATTTCCAGTGGGGGTCTCAGGTTGTCATCCCAACGGTAGCAGATCTAGAAACAGAAAGGGAAGGAGATTAGCGCCGGGAGTGTGGAATGCCAGTACCCTCTCACTGTGTCCACACCGCAGCGCCGGTCAGCACAGAGGCCGCAGGCGGCCAGCTGTACCGGGACCCTTTAGCCTAACTAAGGGTCGCTCAGAGTAGGGGAAACCCTACGTCCCAAAGATAGATTAGACACCCTAGACAGCATCTTCTGGTGGGCTCAGCAGTGTCCACAAGCTCTGCAGTAAAAGGACAAGGCCAGCTGGGGCAGCACAGGCCTGGCACCCCTGCACTCAGGACGCTAGGGCAAGAGGGCCAAAGCTGGAGGGCAGCATGGGCAACGTAGCAAGAACTGGTCTCCAAATAAAAATGGAACAAAGCACTGGGGATGTAGCTCAGGGTGAAGGCGCTGGGTTCAACCTCCATCACAAAATAAAACCCAAGAGGAGAGAGTGGCCAAGGGCAGAGCATTGGGTACAGTATTTGACTGGCAAGGACAAAGTCCTGGGTTCACAGGAAGGAAGCAGAAGCACAAAGGAGGATTATGGGAGAATGCCTTGGCCAATGGTCTTCCTAGGGCCCACACATTCTTGGAATTTCACCCTTGACCTTGTAAGTTCTGCTGTCCATCACCACAATGAATCCAATGTTTGGCTCTAGGAAAGACTGAGGTTGCCTGACTGCCACTAGAGCAAAGGCAACTACGTGGGAAAGAATACAAAAATACGCGAAGGCAGCCTCACAGCAGGGCTGAGGAAAACACCACTGCCGCCCAGACAGCTAGGGCGAGCGATGGAGACGCTCACCAAGCTTGGTTCTTCAGTTTCCTCAGTTCTTTAGTTGCCCATGTCGCAAGAGTTTTCGCTTTGTTAGTCTTCGATCTCCGCCCTTCCGTTAACAGTTCATGGATCATTGGCCTAGCTTCTACTAATTTCAGGACATCCTTCCCGAAGGCTGTACACAAGTCCCTGTATAAACCAACACACCCGAGGATGAGCTCCCGCCCGTCCCACCGGCGCCCTGGCCTGCGCCTGCCCAGTGCTGAGCAGCTGGCTGTGGGCTTCTTCCTCATTCAGCATTCACTTACTCTGTAAAGGCGGAAGGCACTTTAGAGATAAACACAGGGCCACTTTAGAGGGGCAGGATGGCCTGCCCAAGGTTAATCAGCTAATTCACAGTAAAAAACAAAGAAAGAATCACAACTGGTATCTAGGTCTGTGAGAGCTAAAAACCAGTGTTTTTCTAGAAATGCTCAAAAGACACTAAACAGTCCAGCGGGGAGAATGAAGGAATCAGTCATCATTTTAGAGTACCCAAAATATGACACTATGGGTTCTGGAAGGACACTTCCTGGGGGCCTGGAACGTGGCACAATGATAGAGCACTTGCCTGGCACACTAAGGCCCTGAGCTGAGCCCCAGTACAACAACAACAACAACAAAAACCCTCCACGCCTCAGGGGTGAGCTGGTGATGCCCCCTGCACTGCTCCAGCCTTCTCATTTCCCATGGGCACTGATCCCTATGCAGCCCCCGGAAGCGGGGACAGCTTACCCTATCAGGCCAGCAGCACAGGCCACTACTCCATCCGTATGATCTTCGTCTCCAGCGATGTGGTCAATGAAAGACAGAATAAATTCTACTCTTGGCTGTACCAGCATCACATCCGCTAGGGAAGAAAGAGGAGGGTAACAAGTTTGTTCCGCAGTCTGCAAGACTCTCCTCACAATCTCCAGCTGCTCTACCCGTGGCACAGGACCCCCAGACAGATACTGCATGATTCCTCAGCCTAGGATGTCATTTCACAAGCCAGCAGAGGAAAAGAATATCCCTCTGAAATAAGCAGATGTCACTCCAAGAGAACAAATGCAATGCTTTCCTCCAAGTCCTCAACGATCAGGAGCAAGGGCACCAGCATCTCCCCACTGGTAACAGAAACACAGCGGGAGCAGTCACTCAACAACTGCCACTCGTGGCTGGTCCAAAAGCTATCAGCAGTTCTGCTGCCGTTTTTGCTGAACAGTCTTGCTGGATCTCCTTTTGTGCAAAGGCTCAAGAAGTTAAAAAAAAAAAGTTCAAAATAGCTGGGGGTGGCAGCACACGCCTGTACTCCCAGCACTGCGGGGGGCCAACACAGGAGGGTCACTGGGAATTTGAGGCCAGCCTGAACCATACTGGGAGACCCTGTCTCAAGGAACAAAAAAGCAATGGGAAGAAAAACAGAGGAAAGGGGAGAAGAAACATGACAACCTGTACCATGCCCATGCCTCCCTCTCCTCCTGAGTAACAGGCCACGCCAAAGGACACACCCCATCTGGCCAATGCACAAGGGCCGGGGACTGGGGGGGCGGGCTGTGCACTCACGGTGTACATTCTCTTGGTCTCCCTTCAGTCCCTGCACGATGCCGGTGTAAGCTTCCAGGCAGCCTTCTCTGAGCTCGTTGAGATAATCCACCATGTCATAGTCCGACTGGAAGAGAGAAAGCTCCATCACACCACGTACTGGGGACTCTGTCAGCCGAGAGTCCTACTCCTCCAAGAGAGCTGACTTCGTGAGGAGCAGACAGCACCACGCTTACCTTGTCCACCTGGGCTTGGGAGGCCTGCTGCAGAGTATTAAGCACAACCTCTAGGTATTTTTTAAACTCTCCACCGATTGCAAGAGCAATATCACCAAACACCGACAGAATCTGCGGCTTCACAGACCTGTGGACATTCTCATTCTGGCAAGATAAAAACACTCAATTAACAAATGTCAAAATCCATTTGGTCCACAGACCCCAGAAACTGTGTATGTACACAAAAATTAACGGCCATTGTTGGATAGTGAGGTGAAATGTTCTCTTTTCCTTTGTCTTTTTCTGTCCCTCCCTAAAATAGAGCACACAGTCCTTTTAAATGACTTCACAAACTTTATAATAAACTGTGAAGACAAATAGTTCTCTTCTTCCTAATCCGAAGTCAACTTCCTGGGACCCTGAGGCTCCCCGTGGTGGATCCTGACCCCTGCTCAGAAGCCTGGCTCGATGGCAGCACACAACACTCACCCCCAGGTTCTCCAGCAGTAGCTGCATCACCTCATCACAGAAAGGTAAGATGTTGGACTGAAGAGCCCGGCACAGGTCTCCTACCAAGCCCACGGCTGCCAAGCAAACCTGCAAGGGACCAGGAAGTCATCTCGAGGCGTGCCTTTTCCCCACTGCTTTACCAACAGACCCAGAAGCAGGAGCCCCCTCCCCCGAGACCTGGGAGAGCAGGGACTAGGGCCAGTGGAAACACCGTTGAGGCCACCAGTGGGGCCAAAGTGGGGTATGGTGGTAGTTTAGAGAAGGCGTTGGTTTTTCAGGGTGCTGAGGGTGTTAACTCTGTGGCCACCCTTGCTTCAGTACTGCCCAGGCAGTGACCTCAGGTCCCTCTCCTGGTGGACCCCACAGCCTGCGCTCCAGACTCCTCACTGGCCAGACAGGCAGACAACAAACATCACAGAGGAATAATTGCGGAGTGCACCAGAACCCCACTTCTCTGTGCCATCCTGATGACCAGTCAGAAATGAGGGTCTACTGAGGGCTGGGACATAGCTCAGAGCTGATCCCCAGCACCACCAAAACCAAACGGCCTATTCTGAAAAGCACAGCCTACCTGGTACTCAGCATAATTCTTCAAACCGATGCCCAGGAAGGGTTTGAAGGCATCCATATATTTAAGGAACTCGCCGCCCAACACTGCAGTGAAACAAACTTTAACTGATGACCCATGCAGGCTATCAGATCTCCCAAAACACACTCTCTGCAGGACAGCTTGGTGGCTACCTCGTCCAGGACCCCAATTCTCACACCGACAATACCAACCCTGCACAGGGTGCAATGTAATTTTGGCTAAAACAAAGCAGCACGGCCCTAAGGGACTTAGGCAGGGCGGGGTGGCCACTCTGAACTGGGCCTGGACACAGCCTCTTTCCCCAACCCATCTGGTTACAAGGTCTTCAGCTTTGCCTGAGGGCCCCAGGCAGCTCCTCCCAGAGGGCTCCGTAGGCCCCCAGCCGTCCCAGGAACCAGAATTAACTTCCTTGTCCTTTTCACGCTGCCAGGCCAGCTGCCTTTAGGTGGTGGCCTCAGTGACACATTCCCGAGTCCTCCTGAAGAAGACAGCAGGCCACTGAGGTGCTCCATAACGGGATTGAGCGGCCTTCAGAGAATCCAAGTCAAATCCCCACCCTGAGCTGTGCATGGCCAGACCTGGAACCATCAGCAAACCCGCTGGATTCCTGGAAACCACTCCATGCTGCATTGCACCCCACACAAGCACCGCCGAGTCAGGAAACCCAAGTCCCAAGCAACACAACCAAATCAGGCAGTACCAGGTGGCAGGAAAGACCTAGAATCTTGCCTTCTCCAATCCTGACAGGAGCCCAAGCCCTCCAAAACAAGGTGCGTTTAATGGGGAGGGCTTTGGAGGACTACACATAGCTAAGTTCCCCTCAGAAAGTCAATAACCTTAGGGGCAGGCTGGCTCCACAATGACTTAGCCCTGTAGCCGTATGATCGGGGTTAAGCTGGATCTGGTTAGGAAGTCATTCACAACCCAGTGAAGAACTATTTTTTGCAGACGCTTTCAAGGCATGACTGCACCTGCCCCACCTAGCACCGTGGCCCACCTTCCACCAGGGTGCTGACAGCCATCAGGGCATCCTCCTGCACGCCCCCGGAGCCGGCTGTGCTCTGGAACATCCTCAGCAGGGAGGCCATGACCACGTCAGAGATCTGCAGGGCGTCCTGGTGCTGCACCTTCCGCAGGACGTTCTGTGGGAGGAGCACAGTATGGCAGCCGTTGGCCGCACACCCGCCACCCCAACACTGCGCCCGTCCCTCCCGGGCCAGAAGTCGCTGCAGAGACAGAAACCGACCAAGGTACATGAGATCTAATCCTCAGGGCGTGGAGCCACCACTTTGGCATCCGTGTCTGTGGGACAAATCCCTGTCTGTAACCCCTGCATCCAAGTCTCACAAGCACAACTGTTCAGTGATCTCAGTGTTAGAGGAAGTCATTTTAAGAATCTTACAAAGCAAACAAAAAGCAGCCCTTCTTGGTGCTGACCCCTTTAGAGATGATGGTCTATGAAGTGTGCTGCTCTTGTTTATGGAGAGCCCTGGGGACAGAGCTCCATCGCCAGTCCTTTCTATTTTGGACAAACTCTCACTATCTTTAGGGCAGCCTCAAACTTGCTATCCTCCTGCCTCAGCTTCCTGGCAGCTGGGATCACAGCTGGGTGACCACACCCAACGGGAACCACCTGGTCCCTTCCAAGTGCATGCATTCTCGTCCCACTTCCCTCTCATCTCCTGTCTGTCTGCTCCAGCTCCTGTCCCCGAACTGTCCCTACAGTTATCTGATGAGAAATAGGCTCTCTGAATGCTCACGCTTTCAAACACAAAGTCTGGGCAGAGAGAGTGCACAGGTAGGCTGCCCTAGTTAGCTCGCTGAACATGAAAAGCCAGGCCCTACTCAAGCTTCAGACAAGCAGCTCCAGAATTTTCCTTTTGTCCTTTGCTAGCAAAGGGAACAGTTCCTCAGCTAATTCCTAGGCCAAGAGCCACATTTCACTTTCCTTTTTTCCCAGTGTCACTTGAAAAAGACTCTCTGCTGTGAACACCAGGCACTGTACGTGCCATGATATGAAAGCTCCTGACAGCAAACGTGTCAAAAGCTGACAGCAGCAGCCCAGGTTGCATCTCCAACTAAAGGAGCTGTAGCTGGGAACCAAATGTGACCCAAGCCCTGACAGCCTCCCCAAAGCAAGACTGAAGGCTGCCGGCCCTGCCCGGCCGTACAGGGAGGGCCCAGCATCTGAGTGGCCTCCTTGCTGCCCTGCAGAGGACACACAGGGCTTTTTGGGCACTGGGAAAGGGACCCGGCAAGGCCTCTCTCCATCAGCAGCACCCACATGGTCCAGAGCTGCCCCGCTCAGACGGACGGCTAAGAAACGTCAAGGGCAAGGACCTGTCCTACCTGGAGCGTGGCGCAGAGTAAAGACTGCAGGTCATTAAACTGGATCCTGTCAGATGTGCTTTGGATATGTGACTGCAAGGGAAGAAGAAAACACCATGGGCTGACGAAACTCCCCACTTCTGCCGGACTGCCCAGGAGCCTTAAAATCCTCACCAATGCCAAAGTAGGAAAGTGAACACACACACTGTGACAACTTAAATGTAAATATTAAACACCAGTGGTCTTTCTCTCTTCTCCAAATCAGGGTGTCTCGCCTGTACCCCAGGCTGGACTTGTGCTCACATCAATCCTCCTGCCCCTGCCTCCCAAGTGCTGGGATTGCAGGTGTGCATCACCATGCCCAAAGACAATGATTTGTTTTAATCTGGTTTTTAGTATTGAGGAGTCAACACAGGACCATTCCTCAAGGCTGTTTCACACACGTAATCCCTGAGAAAATACACACTTAAAACACCGAAAAAGAGTAGCAGCCCTGCAAGGAGAGTTCCGCTCCCGGACGTGAGCCGGGCCTTACCTCCATCTGCAGCACCTGCTGCAGCCGCTCCATGATGACCAGAGTCGTCTTCTGGACTGCAGGGTAGCAGTCCTTGGCGCTATTCTTCACGATCTCCATGAGCGATTCATATGCGGAGCTCCTTAGGTTGTTCTGGTGGCCGTCGGGCCTGTAAGGGACACACATCAAAACCTGAAAGCCTCAACTGCCAGGACTGAGCAGGAGGAGTGGAAACGCTGTGGTAATGTAGATTTTTCTCTCTCCAGAAACAGGAAACAAACAGACTTGAGTCTGACAACCCAGTATCTAAGAATCAATCTTCTTTAACACAGGTGTTGTTTATTTCACTGAGTATATTCAAGTCGAATCCATTTATCTATCAAAGTGCCCAGTTAGTCTTCTTTACAGCTTAGCAGTCCTCCACTGTACGGAAACACCCCGTCTTTTTTACCCATGCCTCAGTCAGTGAACATTTTAGACTGCTCCCTAGACCCGGCTATCGCAGACTGCTGCTGTAAACGTGAGTGTGCACACACCACAGTGGGTGTGACGTTTTTAACTCTTCTGGGAAGACATGCAGAAGGGGACTAGCTGGGTTGAATGGGATCTCCCCCCACTAGACTTTTGAGGAATACTACACTGATTTCCCCAGTGGTTGCACCAGTCTGTACTCCCACCAACAGTGAAGAAGGGGTCCTTTGTCCCCATAGCCCCTCCAGCATTTGTTATTGCTTGATTTAAGAACCAGAATTGAATTTTTATTTTATTTTTTGTGTACCAGGGATCAAACTCACAACCTTGCATTTGCCAGGCAGGTGCTTACACCACTGAGCTAAACCCCAGGCCCAAGAATCAAAATTTTAATTCCTCTAAGCCAATGGCTATGTTTACAATGGTCTCTGGAGCTGATTAAAATTCAGAACGGCCCCTTGGGGAAAACACTGTATTTAAAAGGTGGAACGGGCCAAGGTGGCAAAGGACCCAGGTGGAACAGCCAAGTGGCTGCCTGACTGCTGCTGCCTCGGCTCACATACCAGCATCTCCGAAGGACCCATCCTGAGAGCTAGATCCCAATGTACCCAAGAGTGCAGGCGGGGCACAGAGAGGCCACTGGATCTCCAGGGTTTTAACTTCATCAGAAGGTCAATTTATAATGTTCTGCTGTGACCAGGAGGCGACGGAAACTCGCCTCCTGAAGGGTATGCATGGGGGCAACTCTCAGGGACTTCACCTGGTCCACCCCTTCTGCCAGGCTGGCTTGCTCCCTGCCTCCTGGCTGTGGTGAGCTGAGCTCTTCCCCACCACGCCCGTGTCTCTGCTCCTCCCTGCCTCACCACAGGCCTGAACGCAAGGGGCCACCAAGCATGGACTGAGACCCCTGCATCGGGAGACCAAGCCTTTCTCCTCTTCTAAGTCTCTTTTGGTTCCTTGGTCACAGGGATGGAAAGCTAACATGGTAACTATGAAGTAGGACCCACAAATTTTTTGGTCAAGGTAATCCAAGTGACACCTTACAGGGATCTTTATTCGTCTACAGTGTTTGTACAGAGCCTGCCAGTCTGCAACTGCAAGCAGCAGATCTGCAAGAGATGTTGCTGTGGAGTCCCGAGCATAGCAAGGACGAGTTAGCCAAGCATGGAAAGGCTGCCGCTCAGGCCTTCCTGAGTTCGCTTTACCCACAGCTTCCATCACACAGGAAGGACTACAGGGCGTTCCCAGACGAGTCCCTTTATAAACCAGCTACTTGAACACTTAAGTTCTTCATCCAATGTCGCAAGTGACAGTGACCTCACAATCCCAGGGTAGGCATAGTTTCCACTTAGTCTTCCCCCTCTTTTATTTAAACTCCATCAAGGCCCCTGAATTCGCAGCCTTGCCTCCCTTCCCTCCCGTGGGCTCAGTTACCTGTCCGTGGTCTCCAGCAGCTTCTGAACTATGAGCTCAAAAGAAGAGGACAAGCAATAGGTGGCTGGTTCTTCTTGATCATCAGCTACATCAGCAGCCTCATAAGCAGCTTCAGCCAAACTGGAGAAAGCCTAGATGCACACGGATTAGTGTTAGTCTCCCAAGAAGCCCCAAGGGTCACCTCATTGTCCCTTAGGGCACAATCATCAATGCTCTTCTCCAAAGGACCCACAAATTTTTTGGTCAAGGTAATCCAAGTGACACCTTACAGGAATCTTTATTCGTCTACAGTGTTTGTACAGAGCCTGCCAGTCTGCAACCGCAAGCAGCAGAGCACCTTGCCTAGCGCCAGCCACCATCCATCCTTCTGCTCGTAGGAAGCCACCAGCCAAACCCCACCTTCCACGCAGCCCACGCCAGCCCAGTGGCTGGCCACCTACTGTCCTCCTCCCAACCCTCACTCAGCAGTGGCACTTCTTGTGACCAACCACTTTACTTCAGTCAGGACTTTTTGTCCCTGAGCAATTCAAGGAAGAAAAGTCTCCCTGCTGGGTTATGACTGCTCTAAGCGCTTCTGGGACTGGGCACCACGAGTCTACGGCCCCTGTGGGCTCCTGCAATTGGCATCTCCCCCACATCTCAATCCAAGACTCAGAAAGGCAACCGCTCCGAACAGGCCTTCCAGGAGAGCACATCGCACCCTCCCGCACCGCCCCCTCTCCTGCCAAGGAGAGCAGGATCCCTCACCCAGCACACGTTGGAAGCCACGCGGGGCTCGGCACTGAGGCCCTCGATCAGACACTGCAGCAGGGGTGCCAAGTAGACATCATTAATGGCAGCTTCGGGGAGCAGCTCACAGATCCTGCCCACCGTCCACGCAGTTGTGTCTCGGACGACCACGCTGGGGTCCTTCATTAATTCTATTAGGGTGGGCATAGCCTGAAACACAGCACAGAGAGCCCCAATGACACCGTGTGTGGGCACCGGCTACTCAGAGGAAGATGGGGTTCACTCCAAGGTGGTTCTGAGACTTCAAAGTCTCAGCAGTGTGCTGTGCAGAGCCCCGCACGCCTCACCAACCCCAGAGTACGAGTAAAAGCCTGGGCGGATTTTCAGCACTTTATGCACAGTTACTCGGGTAGAGACTCCGAGACCCTGTCATGATGGCAGCTGATACAACATGAAACCGAGTGCTGTATGTGTGAGATGCAATTAAAATGCATTCTTACACCCTACACTGGCAACATAATCAGCATCACATCAATGTCAATCTCATCCAAAGCACGGAATAATTATGCACTCATCAACAACTGTGAGGCAGATGGTGTGCACCTATAATCCCTGCTACTTGGGAGGCTGAGCGAGGCAAGCTTTAAGGTTTGAAGTCAGTACAACTCCGAATTCCCCACGATGACTGACCATCATGTTACGTGGAAAATGTACCAATAAATGCAATTTAAAAACAATCAAGTCTGAGGTCAGCCTGGGTAACTTGGGAATGCCTTGTCTGAAAGAAGATTTAGGCTGGATGTGGTGGCATACACCTATAATCCCAGTACTTGGGAGGCTGAGGCAAGAGGATCGCTGCAAGTTCGAGGCCAGGCTGGGCTACATAGTAAGTTCGAGGATAGCACGGACTACATAGTGAGACCATCATCAACCCCTACCCCCAAAAATGACCTGGAGGGGAGCTCAGTGGTAGACCATTTGCCAGACAGCATGCAGAAGACCCCAGATTCAATCCCCAATAGTGTGAGAAAAAAGTATATAAAAACATTGCCCCTACCAATATCACATGACTCTCTGGAAGTAACTTTTACAGATGAGTATTTTTTTTAACAAAATTACAACACACTCAAGCAATCGGCACAGCTTACTTTACCTGTATGACTAGTGGTTTGAGCTGAGTGGGCTCTGGGCCTTCTAGGATGCTGCCGAAGGCCATCACGGCGGCATCCCGGTACCGCCAGTCCGGGTTCTTGATGTGCTCCTTGATAAAGGGGAGGACATGCGGCACTATGTCGTCCTCACAGCAGGTGGACAGAAGCATGAGGCACACACCGGCTGCCTTGCAGGGGTTCCAATCATCATCATCATCGTTCTCGTCCTGTGAGACAATTTGTGACAAGGGAAGCTGGTATTCAAATCACTGTTTTGGCCAGGCGTGTGGGGCATGCCTATGATCCCAGCACTCGGGAGGCTGAAGCAGGAGGGTCTGCATTGCTGAGAGATTCAGGCCAGCCTGGGCTACAGGGAGTTCAGCCTACACAGCAAGACTCTCAAAAAACTAAAAGAAAAAACAAACAAAAAACCAAAACCAAACAAAATGGCATTCGATTCCCAGTATCAAAGAATAAAAAAAAAAAAAAAGGCAAAATCCATTCAGGACCCTCGCTGTCTCTCAGGAGCTATCCTATTCCCCATTCCTTCTGTTCCAAGAAATTTTCAGGTTTTTTTTTGGTACCGGGGATCGAATTCACTACCTTGTGCTTGCCAGACAGGTGCTTGTGCCACTGAGCTAAATCCCTGGCTCAGTGATTTTTTTAAGAGCAGGAAAATTGCCAGGGATTCAGCTCAGTGGTACAAGCACCTGCCTCCCAAGGGTGAGGTTGTGCATTTGATCTCTGGCACAAAAAACCAAAAGCAAAAACAACTTACTATTTCTACTCTCCCAAAAGTCTTGTATTCATGTAGCCTTAACACTCAGGCACCATGAAACTAACATGAAAAACCACTGCTGTTTCCAGCTGGCACAGACTCCGCCCCTCACTGTCTCTGTTAACTTGAGATTCAGAGAGAAGATCCTCCCCAGTATGATATATAACAAGAGTGAACAAACTTCAACTTTAACAGCAAGAATGACGTAAAAAAGGCCAACAGAGCTGCGTGTGGCAGTGCACACTCCCCTTCCTCTTTATCACAGCACTCTGGGTGCTGAGGCAGAAAGACAGCAAAGACAAATGCAAGCCCACCCTGGTGACAACTTAGGGACACATCTGACTCTAAACAACAAAGGAAAAGAAAAGCAAACCAGGGCTGGAGATGTGGCTCAGTGCTTGGTACGCCTGCCTGTTGTGTGTGACTCCCTGGGGTTCAACCTCCAGTACTGCCAGGACTGGGAGGCTGAGGCAGGACTGCCACAGGTTCTAGACCAGCCAGGGCCACACAGCGATTCCAGGACCAGCCTCAACTGCACAGCAATACTCAGTCTCAAAAACAGACAAAAAAACAAAACAAAACAAAAAAACACTTGAGTGTGGTAATGAATGCCTGGAACCCCAGCTACCTGAGAGGCTGAGGCAGGAAGCCTCAGTGAGCTGTACACCCTAGCTCACCCTGAGCACTTGAGTGAGACTGCACCTGCCTGGCAAGTGCGAAGTCGTGAGTTTGATCCCCAGTACCACACACACACACAACACACACACACAGAGGTCAGGGATGTTCTCCAATGGTAGAGCACAAGGCCCTGGGTTCAATCCCCAGTACCGTCACAAAGAAGAACACACGAAACACATTCTACTCAGATTCTTCTTACACTAGGCTCCAGATGCACCTTAAAAAATAGGAACCAGCTGGGTGTGGTGGCTCACACCGCTAATCCCAGCACTCAGGAAGCTGAGGCAGGAGGATCGTTGTGAGTTTGAGCTCAAGGCCAGCCTGAACTGCATAGAGATCCTGTCTCAAAAAAGACAAAATACATAAATAAATAAAAAATAGGGATCAAGCCCACAGTGCTCTACCTCTGACAGCTCTAGCTCCTTCTATTTTCTGAGACAATGCAACCCTCCTGCCTCGGCCTGGTGAGTGCTGGGTTTAGCAATGCACTGCCATGCCCGGCTCAGTCTCCAGACACAACAATTACAGGCAAACTGCCTATTCAATTCCAGAAAATTAGACACATAAAAAAACGGTCTGTTCGTAAGTAGGCCAAGTGTCACAAAATATACAAAAGCAAAAATACTCAAAGATGAAAAGTTGTCACTGTAAAACTGAAAGAAGAGCCGAGCGTGGGACTGAGTTCGAGGTCGGCCTGGTCTATAAAGTCAGTTCAAGTCAGACTGAACTGCTTAGTGAAACCTTGTCTCAAAAAAACCAAAACAAAAACAACACACCGGAAAACCAAGGAAATGAAAATACAAGGTGCAGTTGGAGAAAAAAGAAAATTAAAAGAACACCTGGTCCATTTCCAATCAAGTCAAACTCTACTAATCTTCCGAGACCACTATACTCAAATACATGCAAGCCTAAAGTTACACTCCTGTGTACACAGAAATTCTCCAGCCTCCAAACTATCATCACTGTCTCTCCAGGTGCTGCCAGACAGATGTGGTGGCAGGAAACCTCCCCAAATGCCACCAGGAAAAAATGTGACACACAGAGGGAAGAGAGCAGCGAGAAGGAGCCACTCTTAGCAAAGGAGCTCCTATACTGTTCACCACCCGCAGCTGCGTGAAGCCTTGGTTCTTACGTGGTCCCAGATCTTCACAGCTGATGCAGATGAGCACTGTGGGTCAGCAGAGGTGCCCTTCCTCGGGCTGTGGTCCATCACTGGATCCAATAGCCCAAACCCAACACCTTATCAGTATTCAAAAACGCAGTTGCACCCAATGAATTCACAACGACACCCTGGACAGCTCACACTGGCCTCCCTCAGCAAACCACTGGGTAGGGACTGGCTGTTCCCAGTGAAGACTCATGAGCCACTCAGACCCTAGCCTCCAGACCCCCCAGAGTCTAGGAAACTGCAGGCCTGGCCCTAACACTCCTAAGTCGTCTGCCACGGAGGAGCAACAGGATGGGATGGGCTGCCAGAGTCCTCCAGGGAAACCAGTCCGCAGCCCACTGACCCACCCTGAGGCTCCCTGGCCTGCGTAGGTGGGGCAGTGGCCTCACCTGCTTCGTTAGCGTCTGTGTGAGGATGGGAACCAGGTACTGCAGCGCTCCCTTGGCATAGAACTTGCTGGTGTGCTCAGGGGGCCGTCCTTGATCTGCTGCCTGAGAAGGAGAAAGCAGGTGTCAGTCAGACAGAAGCAAACTCAGGGGTGCAGCCAGAGCTGCCCTGGATCTGTAACACACACAGGGCAAAAGCTGGTGCTCGCTGTGTTCTCTCCCTGCTGGGCCTGGAGCTCCAGCGCTGGCCCTGTACCTGTTAGGCAAGGGCTCCACCTCGGAGCACCAGGCAGGGGCCACCGGAGCTGCTGAGGCCAGCCTCCCACCTGCAGCCCTCCCAGCCTCAGCCCTTCCAGTAGCTGAAATTACAGGCGTGCAGCACCATGCTTAGCTTACAAATAAGGGCCTTGTTTTTTGGTCTCCTTCAATGAAATTTTCTCAGACCATAATATAATCTTCCTTAAAAGACCAAGGCAACCTTAATAATTCTGTTTCTTTTCTCACCAGCTCAATGCATATTAACAATTTGACATCTAGTGTTCTTTGAAATCAAGAGATGTACGAAGTTTACGTAAGAGTGCCAAAAATAAGGTTGTACTTTTCAATGTGCAGGAACAGACAAGGTGGCACACAAAGCTTACTTTCAAGTACAAAGTAACTCTTCCCTATACCAGACCCTTCCCCAACACTAGTAAACTATCAATTATACATCCGATGCTCGCATTAGGACCTGGAAAGCAAATCAGCAGCATTAGGTGTCCCCTGGACAAACCGCCTGCCTGCTGCCCCCTGGTGTCCCCTGGACCAAGCATCAGCAAGGATGATAAATGATGCCTGAAATCAGTGCAAACAACGGCTCCCTCTGTACCAAGCTGTCTCCAATGTAACAGCTTTAGCTAATAGAAAGCTAGAATCTCTACCAGCAGATGACCCTCAGCCCCAACTAATAAGCCTTCCAAATGACCAGGCAAAGGACAGCTCTCCCTACCCTCTCCTGCACTCACCTCGGAAGCCTCGATGGCTAAGTCCATCTCCTCGTCACAGACATTGGACCAGAATTCTATTCCTTGTAGGGCCACCTCATCTATATCGCTTTTCATTGCTTCGATTGTGATCTTCAGAGAAAAAAATACAAGACCCCAGGCCCCAAGTAAGCACAGACTCACGTTAGACCCCTTCTTAACCAGATACTCCATTCAGTGTCCAAACCACAGTATGCAAAAACCAGTTCTGAAAAGGCATGTATTTTCAAAACCCACTCCTTTCAGCACACAAGACAGAAAGTTGGTTCTGGCACCCCACAGCACTCAACACTCAGGGAAACTTCACTGTTGTTGTTGTTGATGTTCTGAGACAGAGCCTCCCTGCAAGGTTCAGGCTGGCCCTGAGCTCACTCTGTAGCCTAGGCTGACCCTGAACGCACAGCAATTCTCTTGTCTCAGCCTCCCAAGTGCTGGGGTTCCAGGTGAGAGCCATGGCACCCAGCTTTCATTTCATAGTCAGTACAAAGTCACAGGATGATAACACAGCTGTGCAATTAGCTACAAACATAAATTGTGTAAGGTACTCACTGCAAACAGGGCCGGGCCCATGTAGGTCTCCATGTACTGGTAATACAGGGACATTATCTTGACCAGATTCTGTAAAGCAGCCACTCGTACCTTTTAAGCAGAGATTAACAGCTCACTGAGACAGCAGTGCAACCTCAGGTAGACTCCAAGCCACCTCTCACGGTAGACACGGTTCAGGCTATTTTTCTCTCTGGCCAATCTCACCCCGTAATTTCCACGGTGTCTTCCTACATGTCATTTGTTCTTTCCTTCAAAGGAGCCGGGAAGCCCACAGGACTAAACCCACTAACCCTAGTTAGATTGATACTTTCAGCGGTGTCAAAGGTTACAGTTGAGAATGATCACCTGAATGACCCCTGAAACACATGCCTCGACCCACCCCACCCCCACTTTTGAGCTCTGTATCCCAGCCAGCCTTGAACTTGTGTTCCTCCTGCCTCAGCCTCCTGAAAAACCTTTGCAGAGGACAGCAATTTGCACTGTTCTTGAGAGAGTGCCGTTCTATCTTCTCTAATGCATCAAAGAAAAATTGCTGACAATCTGTCAAACCTGTTTCTTTAACCCACTGATTTCCCCTCATTTCAGACTGCATGACAGAGCCTGCCTCTGCCAGGGAAATGCAAGACAGACATTTCCCACGCGCTCTCACACTTACCCTTGTATCTGGACACTGGGTGGCTTCGCAGACCACCTGCATAATAAAGTGCCTTTCAGACTGCAGGAGAAATGAAGACAAGGGACAATTAGGCGAGCACAAGCTATACCCTTGAAGACCTCCGGATTCTCTGCACAAGGAAACTGGTCCCTCCTCTGTGCCTGTGTAGCACGGCCGGCACGGTGGCTCTCCCCAAGGTGTTGCTGCAGAGCCAGCTGGGCAGGCAGCCCCTAAGCTCTTAATCCCCAGTGCAGCTCCGCTACCGGGGTTCAGGAGGAGGCCAACAGGAGAATGTAGGCCGTAAAGGGCAGGTAAAAACAGTTAAAAGAACAACAAAAACCTACATCTAGGAAAAGCTGTTTTTCTTATATTTAATAAAACTATGAGAATTCAAAACATCTGCTTTACTTCAGAGACCAAATCTGTTTTGTGGAAGACGGAAAATCTGTACCGAATGTGCTGAGTAATGGACTTGATTTGCTGTCCTCCCTAATCTTCTGAAGTTCAAAAGGAAATTCCTGTTTCCAAATCAGGCAAGCAGACTTGTACTTCGCTCTGCCTTCCCAGATCACCTCTTTAAAGGCCGAGAAGCAGCGTGAAGCCCAGCCGAAGTGCCAACAAACAGAACACTGAAATACTCGCAGGCTCTGATCTGGCTGCCGCACTTCTGGGGACACTGTCCTTCCACAGGAAGTGACGTTAGGACCTGAAGAGGCATCTGTGCCCCCGTGTTCATAACAGCCTTATTGCCAATAGCCAAAAAATGGGAGCACACAGATGATGCGGCACACAAACATGGTGCATACACATAACAAATGCTACGTGGCCTCAAAAACAGATCGTGGCACATCCAGCACCCTGGGCCCACCCTGAGGACATTATGCTAAGCGACCTATGCAGTCACAGAAAGGTAGGCTTGTGGGTCTCTATACGTGACATCTAACGCAGTCAGTCACAGGGGCAGCGTCCAGAAGGGCTGTCTGCAGCTGGGGAAGAAAAAGCAGGGAGATGTTCACAGTGCTGGAGATCAGTGCCACAGCAGTGCAAAACCACTCAACTCTGTGCCAGAATATGGTTCTGTTTTGCCGGTAGAACTGGGAACGGCCAGCAGAGACACCATCCATCAGAGCCACACCCAATTTGAGATCAGGTCCCGCCAAGCTGCCTAGGAGCTTCCAAAGCGGCCTCAGCCTCCCAAGTGGCTGGGACTGCAGGTACGTGCCTTGCCTCCGCTGAGTCCGTGCCGTTTACACCGCAGGCATCTGAGCTCACTGCACACGGGTAAGTAACCCTGCCAGGCAGGGCAGCTCATGCCTCGAGTCCCAGTGCACTAGGAGGCTGGGGCGAGACTCCAAGCCTGACCCCAACACAGCAACTTCGTGACTTACTGAGACCCCGTCACAAAGTGGGGGGCAACGATGGGCAAACTAACACCCACTTCATGCCACGTCTCCCCACATCCAGAGCAGAGGGGGATGCTTCTGTACATCTCCAAACCCTACCATCACTGCACTCTCACTCTGTGCCCTCTGACCAGGGGCTGCGTGACGGGAGAAATCTAACCTCTTTGTCGAAGTTGGCTTTGGTGAACTCCAGCGAGTTCAGGAGTGCATTAGTAGCAGCTAGCTTCACATTATTGCTCGGCTCTTCTTTCCTCATCCCCTGGATTATGGCAGTCAGAATCTCATTGGATTTGTCCTGCAGCTGCTCTGGGTCCTGCAACCAGCCAAAAAGTGCAGTGAACATGATAATCCGTTCATGACTAATCAGCAGTCCTGCAACTGCAAAATTCACTGTGAGCGTCAAGGCTTTGTGTTCTTGCCCTCACATACCCGTGAGGGGCCGGCTGTGCCAAGGACCTATACAGTGCCCACATGGCTGGCAGGCCCAACCATGACAGGCACGAGTCATCAAGTCCTTCTCTGGCCTCTCTGTACAAGGACCCTGCACACCTTTTGTGCAAAGGGTAGAGCAGTCTGAAGTTCTGTGCCAGGCCATCTGTACCAAATAAACTGGCTGAGGGCCAAGGACTGGCACCTAAGCACAATACTGTGCATGTCTAGGGCTAGGGCAGGTGCTGTGGGTCTGTGCTCCGTAAGTCCATGCTGAGACAGAACTCAAGAGCAGGCTCTCCATCACAGCTATGGCCCCAGGGGGGCTGCACCTAGGACACTGTGCTGTAGCTCCAGTGACGAAACCAATGCAGGGTGAGCTGATATCGAAGTGAATGAAGCGGGGCTGGGGGTTTAGCTCAGCGACATAAGCGCCTGCCTTGCAAGCAGGTAGTCGTAAGTTCGATCCCTGGTACCAATAAAAAGGAAAAAGAAAAAAAAAAAAAAAAAAAAACCAAGTGAATGAAGCAAGCACATAGTACACAAGGGACGCTGAGAACCCCAAGAAAAAGAATGGGGTCAGGTGTGTTCCATGTGAGCACATCCTCGCTTCCAAATTTTCACCTGGGTACAGCTCACTGATAAAGCCCCTGCATGGGATGCAAGGCCCTAGGTTTGATCCCCCAGAAATTAAGCAACTTGGCTTTCTTCATGACCTGACTGCCATCAACACCACACACATTACTAGAGGAATCAGAAAACACACGTCAGATGCACCTCCTCAGCACTTACTATGTCTTGGCAAATGTAACCAATAGCTTCCAATGTTGATTCTTTCATGTGCTCTGTGCTGTTGGGGTTTGTGACATTGGCCACCAGCTGAGGAATGAGTTCTGGCCACTGGTTTACTGGGATCTCTGCACAAGCGATACCAGCCACACACTGTGAGGCAGAGCTGGGCCGGTACGTCTCTGTGCCCAAGGTCTGCAAAACCTGGAAAAAAGCAGGGATAAAGCATATCAATGTTAAGTATTATTGAGCATAGTTTGCCTAAAACAACCCCCTTTATATCACTGGCTCTAAATTCTGTAAAGAAAAACAAAACAACAAAAAACCCAAGCCAGCCTACTATCATCATCCGTACAACCAACAGCTCCTGGAACCTGAAAGTAAAACCAACCATCTCTGCTGCCAGTGGGAATTCCTAACACACACACCCCAATTCTGCATTCAACACAAGCAGGGAAAACCAGCAGGTGGGAGGTACGTGGGCTTGGAAAGGGGAACGCACAAAATCCAGCTTGCAGGCGCCTGGTTGGGGTGCATTGGAAGGATGCCCCACCCCACTTAAGAGTAAGGGTAACTGTCAAGCCTCAGGTGGGTTTGATCCACACAAGGTTTGCCTAACTCAAAGGAGATCTCCTGTTGGCAGCTGAAAAGAACCTTCGGGGTCATCACCACGTACCCACCATGGCTTGTTTAGACACGCCTCCCTCAGGCAACAGATCTCAACATAAAAACAAAGTTACAAATGCTGCCAACCTAAAGCCCCTCATCCCTCTGCTTCCAACCTGCAAGGATTTGCTCTGTGTGCCCGAGAATGAGAACCAAAGGACGTACCCACTCCGGCACCACCCTCGGGACTCAGCCCGTCTCTCCAGCAGTGGGAAGCACAGACACTTGTGTAAGTGGAAAGAACGGTCCAGACAGAGGAAGCCACACACGACCCAGCTCCATCACCTCCAGCAGCTAATGCCGTCAGTGAACTCACCAAGAGCCACCATGCTCTCAAACTCCACCGTCCCTGGCAGGAACACGGGACACAGAAGCGCCAGACACCCAGCCGGGGCTGCCCACTGGGCTGGACGCTTGGCACTCTGCTTTGCAGTTATGAGCAGACGGCGGACCCCTGGGCTTTCCGTCCCAGGTGAAACGTCACCCTCTCCACCTGCCCCATAACCACGACTCCACCCAGGATGCACCTTAACAAAAACTTTATGTCCAAGACAAGGTGAAGAGCTGGGGGATGAGGACAACTGACCAAATGCCGGCAGCTGAACAGCTATCTGCTCAAGTCTAAATCAAGCTCAAGTTGGGAGTGTTTCTTTTCTTTTTTGGGGAGGATGGGGGAAATGAATTTTAAAAATTTTAAATGGCAAAAATCATAGATATGAGAGGCCATGTGATGTTTTTTGTTGCTGCTGTTTTGAAAGAAGGTCTTGCTCTGTAGCCCAGGCTGGCCTTGAACTCATAACAAAGCTCTTGCCTCAGCCTCCAGTGCTGGGACCCCAGGCCTGTGCTACCACAGCCAGCTCCCATGTGCTGCTCTGCTCTCACACACGCACACCATGGGTGAGGTTCAGATCGGTACACACCTGTCTGTGGCACCTGCTCAGGCACTGTCATTTCTTTGTAGTCCAGACACCTATAATCCTATTCGTTAGTTTTTTGAAATGCACAGAATGTTACCATCATCCAGTCACCCGACTGCGATACCACCTCAGACCTCTCTCTTTCTCCCATCCAGCCATAACTTAACACCCACCTCTTGACCTCCCAGCACACACTCTCCTTCCTCCAGGGTGTCTCCTACACTGTCTCCTAGTGGCGCTGAGTAGCATCCTGAGTGCCGTTCACTTTTGCTTTAAAAGCGCTGCAGAAGGCTCTCAGTTAATGTTATTTCAGGTGAAGCCAAGTGCACACCTCTAACCCCAGCACTCGGGAGCCTGAGGCAGGAGGATCACAATGAGCTGAGGCCAACCTGAGCTACCCAGTGAGACCTCACTTCAAATAAACCCCATTAGACCAGAAGCACTGAGAGACAACATTAGCTATCAGATCTACCATAAAAGGTCATGCAGCACTGTTCAGGCTGGTCCCTACCTCCTGGGCTCAAGTGATCTCCCTGCCTCGGCTTCCCTAGTAGCTGGAACTTACAGGCACACATCACGGCCTGGCTCATTCTAATTTTTCAAGCCAAGAGGCCTCAACCTTGCCAATACACAATTCTCAAAAATTTTGGTGTTAAAAGCAAAGTGTCAAAAAATACAAGTGAGTTCAAATTATGTCTTATTGGGCTGGGGATTCAGCTCAGTGGTATAAGCACCTGCTTGGCAAGTGCAAGGTCATGAGTTCGATCCCCAGTACAAAAAGAAAAAAAAAAAAAAAAAAAAAAAAAACTATGTCCTATCTTACTTACTTAAGCACTACGAAACTAGAGGAATATGAGAAACTGAACGGACATTACAAGGATCAGGAGTTCCATTGAGAAGCCAGGAGGCCCCTGCAATCGCCACATTCTGAGAGGCTGAGGCAGGAGAAGCACAAGGTCAAACCCTGCTTGGACAACTTAGCATGATCTTGTCTCGATACAGCTAATGACACAGCACCTGCCTGGCAAGTGCAAGGTTCTGAGTTCAATTCCTAGTACAAAAAAAAAAAAAGCCTGGAGATGGAGCTCAGTGGGGAGGCCCTGGGCTCAATCCCAGGTATCCTCCCTCCCCGCAATGAACAATTCCAGGGATGAACCAGGCGGTGGCACATGCCTAGGTGCATGACCTGAGTCTAGGAGTTCAAGGCCAGCATGGACGATACAGGGAGACCCCTGTCTCAAAGGGAAAAAAGAAAATTAAAAAGGCCAGGGCTTAGAGTGGCGACCCAGGGTTCAATCCCAAATATCACCAACAAAAAAAGATCACACAGCTGGACATGGTGACCTCTAATCCCAGCACACGGGAGGCTGAGGCAGAAAGATCCTGAGTTCAAGGCCAGCTTGGGCTAACCAAGCAAATTCACAGCCAGCTTGCACTACATAGTGAAATTCCACATCAAGCTGGGCATGGTGGCACACACCTGTCATCCCAGCATTCAGGAAGCTGAGGCAGGAGGGACCAAGGCAGCTCTGAGACCAGCCTGGGTCACAAAAACTCAAGGCCAGTCTGAACTGCATAGAGACATTGTGTCAAAAAGACCAAACAATAAAAAATAAAAAGAATGGAGGCCGGGGGATTTAGTTTAGCAGCACAAGGGTCTGCCTGGCAAAATGCAAGGTCATGAGTTCAATCCCCAGTACCAAAAAATAAATAAATAAAAAGAAATCCTGTATCAAAAAATTTTAAGGGGCTGGGGATTTAGCTCAGTAGCATAAGCGCCTGCCTTGAAAGCAGGCAGTTGTGAGTTTGATCCCCAGTACCAATAAAAAGGAAAAAGACAAAAAAAAAAAAAAAAAAAAAATTAAAAGATAGAAGATATCACAGACATTCAATAGAAACTGCTTTATGCTCCAAAAACTATTCCAAAATAAAAGTGGGCGGCTCTTTTACTTTGAGACCTGGTCACGCTAAGTCAGTTTCCTGTCATAGGTACCTTCAGGCATGACTGGTGAAGAGCAGAAAGGGAAGTAGCTGCCTAAGGGCACTCATTTGCCTGCCACCCACATCCACAGGAAACAGCAAATGTGATGCGAATAACCATGACTGACCAAGTGCAAGTGGAGGATGCACCCCTGGCTTCCCCTTACATACCAGGGTGACCAAAGAATGGTGGCTCAGGCCTGGAACCCAGCCATCTGGGAGGCTGAGGCAGGAGGAGCCTGAGTTTGAACCCAGTATTCACAACTTAGCAACACACGAGACCCTGTCTCAAAATAAAAAAGAGGTGAGGACGTAGCTCAGTGCCAATTTTATGAGTTTCATCTGCAGTACCCCAAAATAACACAAACCAAAATACCACAAACCTAGGTCAAAATGCCAACCACAGATTTTAACTGAAATTCTTTTTTTTTTTTTTTTTTAGTCTTTTTCCTTTTTATCGGTACCGGGGATCGAACTCACGACTGCCTGCTTGCAAGGCGGGCGCTTACGCCGCTGAGCTAAATCCCCAGCCCCTTAACTGAAATTCTCTTTGGGCCTTATACATGTAACAAGGCTACTCAAGACCCTCACTGAGGAAAAAACAAACTTGCCTATCTATTGATTTATTTACTCTTCAATCCTTTCTTTTGCTGCAATTACAAATTTCTAATCCAGGGGCTGGGCATACAGCTTAGTGGTGCAGTACTTGCCTGGCAAACACAAGGTCCTGAGTTCAACTCCGAGTACAAAAGGAAAAAAAAAAAAAAAAGAGCTTAATACAGATCTCTACTCCAACAAGTCACAGAAACCACAACACACAGCAACAGAGGACAGCCCTCCAAGTCCATCACCTCACTCAGCTGACATCATGGGGACAAAAAGCTTCTAAAGAATACGTTTTTACAATTTGTTAAGTAGTTGCAAAAACCATTAATGTCATAAATCTATTACTCAACTTCCTTGGGTTAGCAAGACCATTTAATGTTCCTTCTGTCTCCACAGTGCCATGCATAACCCACCAAGAAAGAAGAATTATCTGTAGCAGGGGTTAAACAAGAGCTGGCTGATGGTGACAGGATCACCTTGGGAGGACAGCTTGAAAAATCTCCCTAGGCCGGGGGACATCAGCCTACACTTGGAAGGCAGGAGGATCACCTTGAGTTTAAGGCCAGCCTGAAATGCATAGTAAAACCTTGCCTCAGAAAGACAAAACATAAAAAACATCTTTGACACCCATTTTGGATCTCCAAACCAGAGTTTCTGGTGAATTTATGAACACACACACACACACACACACACACACACACACTTTTTTGAGCTGCTGGGGATCTAACCCAGGATTTTGCCCATGCTAGGCAAATGCTCTACTCTGAGCTAAAACCCTCAGCCTCAGAAAGATAATATGCAGAACCAATTGACACCCTATTCTAACTCATCAAAGTATCCAATTAAAGCTTCCCTTCAAACCCATGCAAGCTGCCTTAGTCATCTGAAAAAAAAAAAATTCCAGTCCATCAACGGACAAGCTCAATGGAGACAGATATAAACCAAATATAATTTCTATCTTCATGTGAAGCTTAGATCCTAGCAATCTACCATTCCTAAGCTCTGTCCCAGGCAAATATGACAGAAACACTAGCAAAGCCATGTCTTGTTCCCAGGCAACATGACTACGAGGGAAAGTCACTCACATAGTTCTTGACCTCCCGCCGTGCATTAGCATCGATAGCAAGCCACCTCTGCTGATACTGCGCCTTGATATCTGGATCTTTCGACGTCAAAGAGTTCTTGATTTGTAGACCAGCAGCAACTCTGGCAACCTGACTGTTTCCTGGATTTGCCAGCACTCTGGACAGTTCCACAAGAAAAGTGGGCTGTAGAGAGAAGATTCCGTTAAAAGCATGAAATTACTGGGGGAGAAAGTTTGCAGAACATAGCACACACACTGTAGGAATGTACTTGACTGGCCTTGGTAGCTTGTGCCTATCAGGGTTACTTAGTACCTCAATCTTCAAATTAGGTTCCTGGAATTAAAGCATGCTTGACATCCTTAGTAGCTAGAGGGTTCCTTCAAGGGCAATGAAATGTCCCAGGCACTTAAACAATGCCTGGCACTCAGTATTTGTTGAATTAATCGAACAGGAAGAAAAGCGAAAATATTTTTAAATTAAAAAAAGTTATTTCAAGAATGATATGCAGGGTGATTCTGACCTCATGAAACAAGCAGATAATCTTTCACAAAAAAAGAAACACAGGTTTGCCTCAGATTCAGAAATCTTAATCTTTTTTCCACACTTTAAAAGGTTATGCAGCAAAAAAACCCAAACAAACAAACCCCAAAAAGAAACCCCAAGAGAGTTAATGCAGGAAAAGAGATATTTACAAATACAGAAAATCTAAAAGAAAAATATACAGTAAGGCAAGTTGTTCCAAAAAAAAGATTTTACATTTAACAGTGAACAGCTAATGCACTAAAGCTTCCTATACCATTTCTGGAGCTGTCCACTAAATAATGGTGGATCCCTGAAAGTGTGCTCAAGGTTTCTAACACACAGGTCTCAAAGGCTTCTCCTTCTGTTAAAACATGAGCACGTACAGTTCTTCTCCCCATCAAAAATGACCTGCCCAAACGGGAAAGTAAACTAGGGTAACCAGGAGAAAATGTATTTTCTTACAGCTCACAACAATCACTTAAGGTAATTCCCAAATTGTATTATGTAACCCTAAAGAATGTTAGAAATTCTAACGTAATAGACTTCTTGCCAGTTAACAAAACCAGAAGCAAAAAAGTACCCTAAATGGAAGGGTCAGTCTTCAGGCTTAGTAGGAAAATCTTTTCTGAGCGAAGTTAAGGATTAAAGGTTAGAAAAAACTAGCATAGACACATACACACAAATCTTCCTAAGATACACCTTGTCGTTGTTTTCTTGCCACGATATCCCAAAAGGGCACGTTTGATTACAATGTTATTTAGAATTGTTACCTTAAAAAGACCTCAAGCATCCTCCACCCTCCTCCTGCGCCCCACCCACGCCCAAGAGTAGAGGGACACCAGACATGGCTGGGACTGGTGGCACCAAGCTCCCTAAGGTCCAATCTTTAGGGGACTTTTTTATGGACCTTGTACATTGGAAGCTAGGAAAAATGGGGGCCTTTCTTCTGTGATTTCATCAGTAAAGTAGGCCTGAGCTTAAGGATGAGCTTCAGGGTGCGGTTTGGTTGCAGATGTTCAGTGTTCTGGTCCCTGCCTAAGTCCAAATCTGCACACATCTCTCTCCTCCAGAGAGAGGAATGAGCGGGAAGGACGAGGGACAAACAGTGGAAATGGGTTCAGAGGCAATCGGGTGCCATGAGCACAGATCAAGAAAACCAGAGAGCTCTCTGCGAAGTTGGCGCAGAGAGCTGCAGTGGCGCCTGGGCAGAAAGCAGAAGCCGACCCCGGCCAAACCGCGCGGGTAGCCGGGCCGAGCTCCCACATGGCCCCTAGGCCCGGCTCCCCCGCCCCCACCCTTGCTGAACACGCAGCGCGGCGCAACCTAACTTCCCTTCCCTCCCTCCCGCCGCACCGCCGCCCTCAGACCGCGCGCCGATTGGGCGGCGCTCACCCCGCCGTGCCGCACCATTGGCCAGCCGCGCAGCCCGGGGCGGGACACACCCACCGGCTTCCCGATGGCGGGGTTAGGTTGAACCGGGCAGGGGGGAGGGGGACGGGATGGGGCGGGGTGGGTTCCGAGGCCTGGGCCTCCGGGAGGGCGGGAAGGGCCGCACGCAGGGGATGGGGCGCAGCGGGGCGCACGCACCAGGTTCTCCACGGCTGCGCGCTCCAGGAACTTCTGCGCAGCTTCCAGCTCCAGCCGATCTGGAGGGGGAGGAAAGTGGGCCGGGAGCGGGGTCAGGGGACGGCCCCCTCCCCCACCGCGGTCACCTCGGCCCGACCCCCCGACCCCCGCGTCCTACCCGGAGACACGGTCTTCTCGAGAATGGTGATCAGCTCCATGGCGGAGGTGGCGACGCGACTCCTCCCTAGACGGCGGCCCGGCCTCTCTCGGGCGGCGGCTCCAACTGGGGATGGGGGTTGGGGGTCGGGTGGGAAGGGAGGGTGGGGTGGGGGGCGGGGGTCACCACAAGCCCATTCACCGGCTCCCTCCGGGCGGGCGCTCGGGCTCCCTTCCTCCCTTCTTCTCTGCCTTCCGCCCTCCTAAGTTACTGCTGGTGGCGCGGCGGCTGCTCCTCTGGCGGCGGGGGAGGGACCCCGGGGGCAGCTAGGAGCGCGACTGGTGCTTGAGCGGCGGAGGGAGAAAGAAGGGAGGCAGTAAGTGAGCGGCGGCTCGCAGGCGGGGAGAGAGGGCGGGAGGAAGGCGGAGGGATATTCGGGCCGGACCTCTCCGCGGCGGCACCGCGCTCCACATCGATTGGCTGCCGCCATGGCCACGCGGAATACCCAATTGGCCAGTCGGCCGGCGTTGAAGGACCGCCCTGCGCCCATTCGCCCGTGGGTTTCAAGGTCCCGGGTTGGCTAGGCGGGCCGAGGAATGGGGGTGCAGGGATTGGCTGAGGGGGGGACATTGGGGTGGGGCAGCTGAGAGCCGCCCGGCGATTGGGTAGGTATAGTAAGGGCTTTGCGCCCAGACCGGCTGAGCGCGAGGAAGAGGGTGGGCCGGAGGTAAGGCTGCGAGCTCTCGTGATTGGCTGGGGTCTTGGACGTTGATAGGTCAGGGTGCCCGGGAGAACTGAGAGGAGTTCGGGGTCGGGGCGCGCAAAGGCGGGAGGCGCCTGGCCGCTTTCGGAACCTGGCGCGGGGCACGCTGGGACGCCCCCGGGAAAGGGTGGAGCTGAGCTCGGGCTTCGGTCGGGGCGGCGTCACTGGAGGGGCCGTGCGAAGCGAGGTTTCGCGGGCCTGCGCGGGGGAGGGGACCGTTACAGACTGGGGCCGCGCCCACAGGAAGCGACTTGAATGGCGAAGGCGGCTAGGTACCAGGCGGTCGGCTGGAAGGACCTTGAGGACCACGTGATTCAACCGCCAGCGTGCGGTGCGGACGCCCAGAGAGGGTATGCAGCTGGCCCAAGGTCACACAGCCGGTTAGTGACTCGGTCCGGCCTGGGCTCCCGCGCTGCCGATGCCCTCGGCCCTCGCGCAGCATCGCCCCACGCGGTCGCCTTGGGCCCGAGCATAGGGTCTGCGACTCGCGTTGTCACAGTAGAGTCCCGCATAGGACCGGGTTTAAACCCACCGTCCCCTGTCATCAGGGACCTGATGGAACAGAAATGATTCATCTCTTGTCCCGCGCCGCTTTCCTATAAAGACACAATTTTTTATTTTATTTTGCCTTTTTGAGACAGACTCTCGCTGTGTCGTTCAGGGTGGCCTTGAGCTCACTTTGTAGCTCAGGCTGGTCTCGTACTTGCAGCGATCCTTCTGCCTCAGCCTCCCGAGTGCTGGAATAAAAGCACGATCCTAAGCCACAATAAATGTGTTCTGCCAAAAAGGGTCATGGTTTATGGTCCTTTTTAGTTCTGAGCTCTGGGTCAACTCACGAACGATTTTTTTTATTTTTATTTTTTTGAGACAGCCAGGGCCTCACTAGTTCAGCCTGGTCTTGAATTCACTGTGTAGCCCAGGTTGGCCTTAAACTTGTCAGCGACCCTCCTGCCTCAGCCTCCTGAGTGCTAAGCTTATACACCACTATACCCAGTAAAAGCCGCGGTTACTTGAATGCCCTGAAGCAGTTAGATACGTAAAGAATTTGTCGGACTGGTCCAGGGTTAGGTAGATGCTGCTGGTTTGGGAACTCCTCACTGTTACAGCTGAGCTGGTGAAACTCGCTGGCTGGTCTTGGGGAGGCGGGGCAGGAAATCCGACTTTGCTGAGGGCGGGAGACTCCAGAATTGCGAAAGAGGGCTTGGCCGGCTCCCTTTGATGCTAGATAACTCTGCAGACTGCAGTGTGTGGCGGAAGGAACGGGTCTGGGCTCCGCTCCTCACACCACCTTGGGACCTGGCAGTTTCCGACACCCTGGGGCGCCCTGAGCCAAGCCTGAGGCTCCAAGCTGCGGGCAGTGCATGTGCACACGCTGCCGCTGACCCTGACCCACAGCGCGTCCCCAGGCTGGCCTCCTGTTGCCTAGCCACCTCTTCTTGCCTTGGCGTTGGTCGGGATCACACACACCGGTGACTACAACGGATTTTGTGTTCTCAGGCACTGCGGTTCAGAATCAGGGCTCCACGGGCGCGCCAGACCAGCACTGCCCCCAGCTGTATCCCTCCCCTTTTAAAATTTTGAGACAGGCTCTCAAGCCCCAGCCTGGACTTGAACATGCAGCCCTCCTGTCTCAGCCCCCAGAGTGCTGTGATGACAGACATGTACCACAGCAACATTGACCACAAACAGGCTTGAATGGTATTTTATTTATTTTGTTTTGGTACTGGGAATTGAACTCAGTACCTTGCAGTTGCCTGGCAGGTGCTGTACCATTGAGCTATATCCCAGGCCCAGATGGGTTGAGCTGGACATGGTGGCACCCCCCTGGAATTCTAGCGCTCTGGAGGCTGACACAAGAGAGTGACTGAGAGTTTTAGGCCGTTCCAGGCTACATAGTTCAAGGCCAGCCAGGACTGCATAGCCAGACACTCTCAAAAAGAAAAAACTAAGTAGCTGAAACGATGCCAGGAAGATTAAAGTCAAGCAGCAAAGTTACCCTCAACCCTCAGATCCTTAAGGTCACGCAGAATGAAAGGTGTTTTCAGGTGACCTGCGGTTTACTGCTGGAGCTGCTTAGCTCCTACCCATAGCATTCCCACCTGACCCTGACCCTGACCTCCAGCAGGGTGCACAGCTTGGGCACACTGAGCACCAACCCCAGCAGTAGTCTGCCCAGCTCTCCCAGACTGGGTGGGCTGGATTTACCGTCCTGAAAGGCCTGGTGGGCCCAAGAGCTGTGCCTTCCTAGGGACTTCCAGGAGATCTGACATTAATATGTGGGGTGCTTGGAACACACATTGCTGGGCCCTGTTTAAGATGCACGCTGTGCTAAACTAGTAGTTGGGGTCCTTGTCTTATTAGGGAGGTTAGAGTTCAATCAACTCATCTCTAACAAGTTCGAAATTGTGCACTATGGTGCACAACTCCCAGGGCTCAGGAGGCTGAGGCAGGGCCTTGCTGGAGTGCCAAGGACAGCCTGACTGCATCATGAGACCCTGCTTCAAATTCTGATTTTGAAGCAAAAGGCTGGATTTCAGTCTTTCTCTGCCACCTCTGCTGCTTGATTGTGGGAAAGTGGCCTGACCTTTGCATCGGAGAGTGGAGAGCTGGGAGAACCAAGGGAGCTGGGAATTCTGCACCTTAACAGGAGCCCCTTAGGGAAAGAGCACAGCACCCCTGCCCCCCAATCCTGAAGCTCATGGCTCCCCAGCCCAGCCCCAGCCCCTGATAGCCCCCACAAAGCTAGAGGACCAGGAAAGGAGGCACAGAGGAAGCCTGGGGGGAATGAGACTCAAGACCCAGTTACCTGCTTGGGAATAGGACGAGCTGCATGGCTGCTTAGACACTTCCTGCAAAACTTCGGGAAGGCGACCCCAGACCAAAGCAGGGAGGCTGGCTGCCCTTCTGGCCCCAGATCCCAGGGCTTCACGCTGAGCTACATCGCCCACTCTCTTACTTATTTAGGAACAGTCTCCAAGTTACCACAGTGGGGCTTGAACTTTGGATCCTCCTGCCTCAGCCTCCAGTGTGCTGGGACTGTAGACTGGTCCGACCCCACCACCATGCCTGCTGTGTGACTCTGGACTGGAAGAGCCATTTGAGTTTCAACTCTCTCTGTCTGCAGTTCGGCGCCTTGATGTGGCCACCTGGCTGGCTCTTTATCACTTCCTTAACTCCTGGGATTTGTCACCTTGCTGCTGGAGTCTGTTGACACTGTCACTTCCTGTCTGACTCACGGCTTGACTAACCTGCCTTTCTCCCTGGGTCTTTGTTGCAGTTGTCTAGTGGAGCTGGGATGCCCCTCAATGGTAGAGCATTTTCCTTGGGTGCTGGAGGTTGAGGCTGGAGCATCACTGCAACTCGGACCCCCCACCCCAACTACACAGATCCAGTCTCAAGAGAAACAAAGCAAAACAAAAATCCTTCTCTGTTGCCACCTCTGCCTTTGCCCTGGACACTCCAGCCTTCTTTCTGTTCCCTGTCACCCCAGGACCTTGGCATTCCCTGCTCGCCCACAGGTGGTCACCTGGCCAGCCATGTGTCCTTCCTCCCACTTCCCTGAGCCTTAGGGTGGCCACAGTGACCTGCGGACAGGTGCACGTGCGCCTCCCCCTGAAGGCAGGTCCTGTGTGTCTTCTGCCCTCACAGTCAGTCCCTGGGAGACACAGCGAGCACACAACAGAGCTGAACACACAGTACGACCTGTGCCTCCGAGGTCAACTGCAGCTCTGTGACAGGCAGGCTAGCACTGTCTGTCCACCCTGGCCCTGCCCCCTGCCTAGAATACCCACCTTTTCCTCTCTGCCCTGGAGAGTCAGGTGAATGTTTTCCTTCAACTCCATTGATTTTTGGGTGGCTCAGCACCCCACAGGGCATTTCTAATACAACAGGGCATGATGTTGTATGCCTGTCATCCCGGCACTTGGGAGGCTGAGGCAGGAGGATCTCCACGAACAAGGCCAGCCTGGGCTACATATTGAGACCTTTTCTCCAAAAACAAAAATAATAATAAGTTGATACACATCTATTTCTTAAGAATCATGCAGCCTAATGTGGTGGTGTATACCTGTAGTCCCAGCACTAGGGAGGCTGAGGCAGGAGGTTTGCAGTGAGTTTGAGACCAGCCTAAGCTGCATAGCAAGACTCAGCCTCAAAAAACGCACCAACCCAACACTTGGAAGTCTAGGTGAAGGATCTTTGCAAGTTGGAGGCCAGCCTGAACTGCATAGTGAGACTTTGTCTCAAAAAAATAGAAGAAGACTCATGAAGGCCTAACTTTGTTTTGAGGTGCTGGGAATTGAACCCAAGGCCTTTGCACTGAGCCACATTACTGCCTCTTTCTGGATATCAATTTTTTTTTTTTTTTGTACTGGGGATCAAACTCATGACCTGTGCTTGCCAGGCAGGCGCTTATACCACTGAACTAAATCCCCAGCCCCACTGCCCTATTTCTATAGCCATTAAAAATTGTGCAGGTGGGGCTGGGGATTTAGCTCAGTGGCATAAGCACCTGCCTTGCAAGCCTGTGGTTGTCAGTTCAATCCCTGGTATCGGTAAAAATACAAAAAAAAAAAAATTGTGCAGGGAGGTGAATGAGGGTGCATTCAACGGGAATGCACTTGCCTAACGTGTGAGGCCCTGGTTTTGTACCTCAGGACTGAAAACACACACACACACCCCATTATAGCTGGGATCGGGTGTGTCTCGGCTTGGGGAGAGGCCCTGGTGTCCAGCATACATACAGTGCTGTCACAGCCTCTAATCACAGAAAATGTTCATGAATCACTAAGCACAAACCAGGAGTGGTGGTGGTCAGATAAAGTCCCACCACACTAGGAGGCTGAGGCAGGAGGACCGCAAGTCTGAGCCCAACCTGGGCCACTTAGATCCTGTTTCAAAATAAAAGTGATAGAGTTCCATGTGTAGGACCTGGTGAATGCCTTTCATTCTAACTACCTGGGAGGCCAAATCAGGAGGACTGCAAGCTTGAGATCACTATGGGCAACTTAGCAAGACTGCAGAAAGGACTAGAAGGATAGAGATGTAGCTCAGGACTCCTGGGTTCAATTCCCAGTACTTGAAAGAGCAAGGAACCGGGGTACATCTCCTGGCACAGCACGTACCAGGCAAGCATGAGGTCCTGAGTTTGAGTCTTCGTACAAGAAAAAAAGGAAGGAAAAAGCAAAGTGGCATATGGTCTTGGGATTGCCTGGAGTCCACAAAAACTGCACTGGCACCTAAAACTGGAGGATCAAACTCAGCCTCGCACTTGTCAGGCAGACGCTTGTACCGCTGAGCCAAATCGTCAGCCTTGGAGCACAGGTTCAAAGCCAGCCTGAAAAGCTTGGCTCAATTGGCTCACACTGAAAGGGCTGCAGCTGTAGCTCAGCGATGAGACCACATTCAGATGGGCCAGCCTCAACACCAAAAATGCAAACAGGAGATGCTTTCAGGTGTGGAGATTGCTTACCTGGAAAAAGAATTCGAAAAAAGCGTTCAGAGCCAGGTGTGGAAGCACACACCTGTAATCCCAGCACTCAGGAGACTGAGGCAGGAAGGTCTTAGGCCAGTTGGGGTTACATAGTGAGACCCTGTCTCAAAAAAGCCCACATTAAAAAAAAAAAAAAATGGTGCCGAGACTCAGGATTCAATCCCCAGTATGACTAGGAAAAAAGAAAACAAAAGCCCATCAGGTAGAGAGGTATGTTAGTCCACTCCAGACCTGCAGCTGAACAGAAGAGCAGCTTGGATTGGCCACAGTTCCCAGCTGTGGCTGGCTGGCTGCCAG